TAAAAAATGGGCAAAAGACTTGAACAGATATTTCTCCAAGGAGGACACACAGAGGATCCAGAGAGACATGAAAAGATGCTCAATATCGCTAGCTATCAGAGAGATGCAAATTAAAACCACAATGAGATACCACTTTACACCAGTCAGAATGGCCATCATAAACAAAGCAATAAACAACAAGAGGTTGTGGAGAAAAGGGGTCCCTAGTTCATTGTTGGTGGGATTGCAAACTGGTACAACCACTATGGAAAACAGTATGGAATTTTCTCAGAAAACTAAAAATGAACCTGCCTTTTGACCCAACAATTCCACTGCTAGGAGTATATTCTAAGAACCCTGAAACACCAATCCAAAAGAACCTATGCACCACAATGTTCATATCAGCACAATTTACAATAGCCAAGTGTTGGAAGCAACCTAGGTGTTCATCAGTAAATGAATAGATCAAAAAACTATGGTACATATACACAATGGAATTCTATGCAGCAGAAATATTACCAATTGCTTTTAATATTACATTGAATATATGCAATACACACACACAATACACATGCATTACACACACACACTTTCCTTCAGCCTCCCTTCGTCCCTGCCTTAGCCTTAGGCAACCATTAATCTACCTTCTGTCTCTATGTATTTGCCTATTCTACATATTAATATAAATTAAATCAGAATATTTGGTCCATTGTGACTGCCTTCCTTAGCTTAGCATATTTTCAAAATTCATTTACATTTAGTAGATATCAGCAATTTGTTAATATTTTATTGCCTAATAATATTCTGTATTTGATTTATTCATTTATTAGTTATGGACATTTGGGTTATTTCTACATTTTGACTATTATGAATAATGGTGTTATGAACATTCATATACAAAGTTTTATAGGAACATATGTGCTCAGTTCTCTTAGGTATATACCAGGTATAAAATTACTATGCTCAATATTTTACGAAACTGCCAAACTGTTTTTTAATGCAGCTACACCATTTTTGATTTCTACCAGCAATGCATAAAAATTCTGATTTTGCCACATTTTCACTAACACTTGTTCTTTTCTGTTTTTTTAAATCATAGCCATCTTCATGATTTTGATGACTAATGATGTTTAGTGTCTCTCATGTGATTAGCCATTTCTATGCCTTTTTTGAGAAATGTTTATTCAAAATATTGCTTATTTTTAAATTTGGCTAATTTGTCTTTTTATTCTTGAATTGAATGAATTCTTTATGTATTCTGTGAAGAAGTATGTTATCAGAAATATGCTTTGCAAACATATTCTCTCATTCCTTGAGTTGTCTTTTCACTTTCTTGATAATACACTTCAAAAAACAAAAGCTTTTTAAAATTTTGAAGTTCACGTCATTCATTATTTTTGTAACCTGTGCTTTTGGTGTCATAGCTAATAAAACACTGCCTAGTCCAAAGTCACTAAGATTTATGTCTATGTTTTCTTTTAAATGTTGAAATGTTTTGCTCTTACATTTAGGTCTATGATACATTTCAAGTTAATTCTCATTTTGGTATGAGGTAGGGGTTCAAATTCATTCTTTTTTTTTTTTTTTAAGATTTTATTTTTTTTTAGAGGGGAAGGGAAGGAGAGAGGGAGAGAAAACATGTGTGGTGAGGGATTGAGTGTCAATATGCAATTGTTCAAGCTCATTTCTTTGAAAGACTTGAAAGGTGTTTTTGGTTATTATAGACTTTTGGATGGACACTTATTTTCTTTTAGTCCTTAAAAAATGTCTACTATATCTTTTGGCCTTTGTAATTGTTGAGAAATGAGAAGTTTAACTCATTCTTGCTCCTTTAAAGATATGCTTCCACTGCCATCCTCCATGCTTCTGTTCTCTTTATTTTCTGGCAGCTTTGCTATGATGTCTTTATGTGTTTTTCTTAAAAAATGTCCTTCTTAAGGTTTTGGAGCATTTTGAATTTGTAGTCGACCTGTTTTATTTTGAAAATTATTGGTTCTTATCTCTTGAAATATTGCTTCTTTCCATTTCCTGCCTTGACCTTTTCAATGACTCCCTTCCCTGTGTTAGGCAGAATGGGCGAGGCAGTGATTGCCTAAATCTAATCAGTCAGCTATGTCAGAGCTGAAGTGCAGTTTTATCTGAGTTTACCTCATTATCTTAGGTATGGCTCTTGCAAACTATTGATAGAGAGCTTTCTCTTCACTGAAAGTCTGGCAGACTTTCAGTGAAGGTCTGTCCTCCACTAACTTTGAGGTCTATCCAGAAGAGATTCAGCCATGTAATATAACAAATAGAGACAATTATTGAAGAAGATACAAGATACAAGAAACATTGTACATAGGACAATTAACCTCAGTCCCCTGCAACGTAGGGGCCTTGGGACCTCACACAGTTCTCCTAGTTGCCATCAGCATCTCACTGAGGGTCTGAAATCTCTTCCCTTTCAAAGGTAATTTTAGTTTTTGGAAAAGCTAGAAGTCCTAGGGTACCAAATCTGGGCTGTAGAGTGGCTGAATCTCTACTCTCAGTCATTTTGAATGCAATAGTCACACAGTACACATGCTCACTCAAAGGCATTTGCCACCCCCACTGACCAGCACAGTGAAGTCATCATCATTCATGCATGTGCATTCCAGCACATTCTCCTTGGCTCCAGGTTACATCAATGTCATGCCAACCATTCTCATTTTATTAGCAATGGCTGGATTTTTTCCGGACAGACATAGTACATGCCCTTCAGAGAATTTCAGAACAGCTTTCTAGCCTACTAACACAGGTGCTTCAAAATGTAGCAAAAACTTCTAGAAGGCTAAGGTTTTCTGGAGGCAAGATTCCTCCATCATTTGGTCTTAGATCACATTGTGACTTCAGGGAAATTCATAGTGGCTTTTTAGTATTTTTGACCCAAGTGACCAATTTCCTGAGAAACTTCAGAGCTCCAGAATGCCTAATGGATAAAAATAGTCTATGATTTAGACAGTCTCCCTTCAATTCCAGATGCTAAAACTTGTCTATTTTATCTTTGTTTTCCAGTGAAAGATCTCTGCCTAAACCAAACTTGATCTTCATCTTTCAGAATTCTGCAGATGTTTCTAGCAACATAAATGGCTGACCGTTGTCCACTAAGAGATGCAAAATTTCTCTCTTGTGAAAATTTAAGTCATTAGCATGACTTTGGGTTTATTTTACTTTAATGCATTAAAGATATAAATGCAGTGCATTTTGATTTTTCTACTAATTTTCTCATAGTTTTGTCATTATTTGCTGCATCCTTTTCCTAAATACAATATTTAATATAGGTTTTATACTCACTGTAATTGCAAAATGTTTATATGTATAAAACCTATCATAGTATTTTTCTTATTGTATGCTCTTTTTTTTACTCTTGCCTGAGAGTTAATTAAATGTTTTAATTGATTTTGTTTTTTCCCCTCTATTAGCTTTTAGTTTCACATTATTTTATTATTCTTGTAATTATTTTAGATTATAAATGAATGCTTGAATTAAATGCTAATTTTTAGTTCCTCTTTGTGCTGCACCTTTATGAAATGGTTGAGTTTTCAGGATTTTTTATGCCGAAACTTTCTATTTTATTCTAGAGAGTAACATACTTTTGACATAATAACTTTATTTTATACCATTCTTTGTCTTTTAAAATATATTTATATATCCTTATATTTTATATTTTAAAAGATATGTATATCAGTCAACAATGACTTTTACTATTTTTTTATTATTATTTCATCTTGCTTAACTGTTCTTTCTCCTGGTTTAGTCTCCTTTATTTTGAATGTCATTCACAACCAGTTCTACAGAGATGAATTTGGAAAGTAAGTTATATGAGTTCAAATGCTTAAAATACTTTCCCATTTTTTTAAATCTATCTTTTGGCATTGGAATAAATGTTTCACTTATAGCTGCTAGCTTAAACAGAAATTCTACCTTTTTAGCAATTTAACCAATTTTTTATTTTTAAACTTTAACTTGTATACCTTTCAACTCATGATCTTCTCTCCAACATATATCTACCTATTTATATGTGTATAGATATATACCTATATATGATATATATCTCTTTATATATGTATATATCCATATATCTCTATGTATAGACATATGTCTTCAAAATTCCTCACTATGGTTCCAAATCCCTTGTATGTTGTTGGGAGGGAAGTTTTCTACTGTATATGTTTCTTCTCTTGTGTCTTTGTGTTGCCTTTCTTCAAACTAATAGTCATTCTTATTGTGTGTTCATTTTGGGAGTTGATAATCACTTTGCAAGTTCTTTTTTTTTTTGACACAGAGATTAGAGTGAGCATTACCACCTGCTTGAATTGAGAGAAGTTTGACCAACCTGGATGCTTATCTAAATATTTCCTCTGTCAATTGCTATTGATTCCTGTGATACAGATAGGAAATAATGTTGCCATTGCCACTGCTTTCATCTTTAGCAAATAATTCCATGTGTATTTTCTACTATAGTTTTCCTTTTTGTTTTCAACCTCAGTGAATATCATTTTTCATTATTTCACAGTTCCTCGATTGTCAGGAATTTTCTTTGGGAGTTTCATGAGTCATCCTTGTAGTTTCCTGGTGTAAATGTGTCCATCTCTCTGTGTCTGCATGTGTAGTTTAAATTATATTCACACACCAACTTATATTTACGATCTCTTTACTGCCCATATGCATATGTAAGTATTTTACATTTACTGAGAGAACTGTGGACATGGAGTGAATGAGGGAAGAGTGGCTTGTGTTCAGTCTGCCTTCTTCCTTCTTGAATACAGATCCCATAGACTTTGAATCCTCCCCTTTATTATTTTGTGGAAATAATTTAGAATTTTAATGCCAGACAACTTTTACAATATTTTTCTTATAGTTTTCTTCTTCTCTTTATATATCCCTTTAAAATATTTATAATAAAATTATGTTATTTTACAAATCACAATTATATATCAATATCTATTTCTTTTCAGTTTCCAGAAATGTACATATAGGAGAAATAAAATTATAATAAATACCTTCACCAAATGCATCCTTGCATTGTCTGTCTATACTCATACATCTTCCATTTACACAGAGCCATTTTGAATTTCCACACGGATGACCATCCTGAACATAAAAGTTATCTTGACATGACATAGATGATCCATTGCAATATTCAGGGAGATCACATTCATCATTAGAAGGCCTGCATAGCTCTCCTTTTTGTTTAAACTGATGATGTGAGATAAATGTGATTGAATAAAACAGAATGTGAACATACAGATATTATAAGGAATGATAACTTACATAGGTGATATGGAAATTTAAAAAGACTCTTACTTGACAATTTTCACAGCATGGTCCCATACTACACTTGGACGTGTCTTTCAGTCTACATCCAGTAGACTTACAGCATGAGTCTACATTTTGATTACATTGCTGAAAGGCAAACCAAATACTCTTAAATGTCTTCCAACTCTTATTTACATTGGGTACATATTTTTGTGATGTCAACATAATATAGTATATATGTCATATATACTAATTGTTGATGTTTAACTTACATGTTGGCAAACAGAAAAATTAAACCTACTTATTCATTTATGTATTTAATAGAAATATATTAACTAACTACAATGTGCTAGACTGTGTATTTTTTATATGCCTAGAATAAGTTTGACTATATTGGTAGTAGAGTTTTCTGAAACCCTGGAGGCCACCAAAGCTATCTGTGAGAAGCTCTCTGGCTCTTATAGATAGAGATAGTAAAATACAAGACATGAGATGCAAGTTATGACTTAACAATCTCATTAGAGTGACCAGTTCTTACTCATCCTTTATGTATCTACTGTATTTTAATAAGTCAATAACTTTTATGAGATAGTCAAAGTTTATTTTACTTTTAATTCTCTAAAGATGAAGAGCTAAAAATGTTTCACATAACTGAAATTATTACCTTTGTATCACTCATCTAATATTTCAGGATGCCTTGTGTTTTATGCTGTAATTCATCTGTGACCCATGATTCTGTTTCTTTTAACCTCTATTATTAGGCTTAATAAAATCAACATGTAAGAAAGATGAAAGCTAAAGAGATGATGCATCACATACCAACATGCAGACATTTTTCAAATCCCCAAGGATTTTAAATGGGGTTGATTGGGCCAAAAATTTCAGTGTTTCACAAAAATAAATCATATATTTCAGTGATCTTGTATGAGTCATAGCTTAGTAGGGCACAGTAAATTTACAGTATTTTCCATGACTCTTCTGTTTAATCTATGTCATTGCTGGTGCTATCTATATATGGGATTCCAGAGGGTTAAGTTACATAACAGGGATTTGGGGCTCAATTATATGATATTTAATTGGACCAAGAAATTCTCCTGCCAATTTTTCAAGGTGTGTTCATTTAGATCAAACTAGCAAAAATAAGGCAGGTGGTGAGAAATAATTTGTTAAAAGTATACCACCCAACTAGCTATCTAAACACACACTTTTTGTACTGGAGAGGGTACATGTAAATGGCTTTCTCTTTGGCAGTAGGGGATGCAGAGCTCTGTTCATGTCTTTTTGATTCTCTCAAGTCCATACTGCTCACTGTGAGTCCCACAGTCCCTGCCTCCCTCATTGCGTTCCATTTATCTAGGCTCATCCCACCTCCCTCTGATATAGCAGGTTTTTCAAAGATTTCTAGAGGTTCAAAAACCAGCTTTTATGGATTGTGTATTACCTAAATCTCTCTGACTTAAACATTGACCTAGATTAAAATACTCAAAGCCAGAATGTGCCTCCTATGTTTTCTTAATTGTAAAACCTTTATATTTTTCTGAATGGCAGAGGATTTTAGGTTAAGAATAAATACAAAGAAAATACACAAGAAGGGCAGTTTAAACCTAGGTCAACTCGGCTATAGAATAAATGACTGAAAATCACTTGTACAAATAATCTACAAAATAATCTACAAACCACAAAATCTGTACATTAATATATAATGTACAGTTAATTAATATATAATGCACTTGTAACATATAAGTGCACTCATTAGTTTATTAAAATCACTACATGCCTTTTTAAGGTTTTTGTAGAAAAGTAAATTTGATAAATTATGGAACATAACAGTGTAACACTGTAAGAATTAATTAATTGTTATGTAATTCTGGTATATATTCTTTTAAATTAGTACTAACATCTGGAGTTCCACAATCACATTCTTCTCCTTCTTCCACAATGCTATTACCACAGACTGCAGCTTTGTATGTTGGATCCAAATGTGGATGATTCTGGAGACATTGGGCCTTTGGCTTTGAAATAAAGTGTGCAAAATCCTCCATGCTGCAGTTACTAAAGAACTTCACACCACTGGAATGACTAAAAATACATTAAACTTCAAATTTTTATATAAGCATTGTATTCATAAATTGTCTAACCTAGGAATAAGCTACTCAATAGCACTTCACAACAGACAAAATGCTCAATTAGGTTAGCATGAAACTTTCTTTATCTGTGCATGGTGAGTCAATTGTGCAAAAATCTGTATTAAATATTTTAGTACGAATAAATAACCAATACAATTTTATTGGATCTTATATCATAGTTATCTGTGACACTGTTTTTTCAAATAGCTCTTAACTCACACAGTGGTCTGTTTGCATCACTTTTGGCTTCCTCTTCTTTTCATGATTTGTAAAAATTTCCATACCCTTGTATTGAGAAAAAAGATTGGGTTTTTCTGTTTCTTTTTACTACTCATAGGTAATCTTTTTGGTTCTACCTTTTAAATAACATCAATACCTGACAACTCAGATATTTGACTATCGAACACAAACTAATCACTTAAACTTGAGATCAGTATCCAATTCTTTACTCAGTGTTTACACAGAGAGAACATTTCCAAGCACACATCTAGCATAACATTCCTTTACTCCCTTTATTCACTTAGTGACATTGATTTTTTTCTCCAAAATATTTATCAAAAACTAGGATATTATTTATTTAATTATTTACTTATTATCTTGTCTTACTAGTTTTTTAGTTCTATGAGAAAAAATGTTTTGATTGTTTTGTTCACTAGCACAAAGCTAACAGATTAATGATTTTTTTCTTTTGTTGATTCTAGAGAGAGGGAAAGGGAGGGAGAAAAACAGAAAGCAGAACATCAATGGGAAAGAGAAACATTGATCGGTTGTCTTTTACACACGCCCCCAACTGAGGACAAAACTTGCAATCCAGGCATATGCCCTACCAGGAATCAAACTTGTGATATTTTGTTTTGCAAGACAATGTCTAACTAACTGAGCCATGCCAGCCAGGGCAATGATTGTTTAAAACAACAAAAATGAATGACTGCATGGTTAAAACTGTTGTAGATTCTTTGGTTGCCTTTTTATTATAATTTTTATTATTCTGAATAGTATTAACATATAGCAAATATGGAATTAATTAAATTTTAAAACCATAGAGTCAAACCTTAGTCATTTAGATTATTACAGAAAAATGTTTTTCACATGAGAACTACAAACAAATTAAGAAGTTTTGAACAAACTATCAATTTTGATTTTTTTTGTTTTGTTTTCACATCCTGGGTAAACATACCCTTCGGTTATATTAACCATGATGAATGGATTTATTATTACATTATCAATAGTTCAAATGGTTTCTATCAATCTAAACACCAGAAACCAAAGTAGAAAAAGCAACAGAAGTTTAACTATTACTGAGCATCAGCAATGCAAGGTATGTTTATTATGTGTGAACTGGTTCATAGGAGACACACTTTCTGGGAATGAAATTAATGTTTTCACTTAAAAGAAAATATAATAATAATTACATCCAACTGGAGAATTTATTTGCAATCTGAATCTTTGCGCAGGTTTTCTGGATATTCCCATTCCTCATTCTCTCATTTTTTCTTGATAACAGAGCCTCTGATTTTCAGTTCAATACATAACTTCTTGTATAAATGCCTACACTGTTTAGCTTTTTATAAAGCTAAGACTGGGCAGATAAAAAATTTAGATAATTGGCTTAAAACGATGTCATAAATTTAAGTTCTAGGAAGTAATGTTTGACAGACATGCTTTCTTGTCCTGCTTTATTCTATTGTTGATTTAAATTTGGTTCATTGCAGTTAAAGCTTACACCAGAAACTATAAGTTACCTTGAAAATACAAGCCACTATGTGGAAATCTGTTGGGAACCACCCTTCCTGGTTTGAAAAGCTGTAACCCCCACATGGCTAAGGCAGAGTGACCTTGGGACCATAAGCCACTAAGGAGACAAAGCTTATCTTTCTGGTAGGGGAACCACCTCTGTCTCTTTTACTTCACCCTGCCTGGCCCCCAGTGCATGATCAGTTAGCCAATGATGGGTAAGATTCCTCAGGGGAGGGACAACCTAAGACAGGCATGATCACGAGGGCCCCCAGGAAAGAACTTGGGGGACTATAGTAAAAGGGGGTGATGGACTCCACTTTGAGGCAGCCTGAGTCCTCATTCTGTCTGCAAGAAGTCTCCTAGTCTCGTGGCTGCTGTACTTCCTCTGCCTACTTAAGCTTGAAACAATGACAGAGGGTGGTGCAGCCCTGTGCTGGAAAGGGTGGGTTCCCTGGGTAATCAGACCAAAGAAAGAATACATAAAATCCTGTGAAACCTGCTTTGCTAAGAATGATCTCAGTTTTCCGATAAGGGTCTGAGAAGGAAATGAGTTTGTTTCCCTTTAGCTAACAGACCCTGACTCAGAATAAGCCCTTGTAATTCTATGTATGTCATCTACTGTTTGATCCTGCTTGACAATGATTAATGAGCTTTACCTGTGTTCCTGTGCAAATTGACCCCAATAAAAGCCCATTGAGGAGAAGAGTCTTTACCCTTCTCTTTTGAGAGATCAGCTACCTTTCCTCCCCAAGCAGATCATGTCTTGGTAGACTTATTCTCATCTGTGGCAGACGGGGGTTGGGGGAATCCTGTGGGCAGAGCTCACTCACATAAATCAATATAAAATTATACTGTGAAATGCCACTTAATTAATAGAATTTTCCAAAATTAAAATAAAGTCTTTTGTTTAAGCCACTATTACTTTGGGTTTTCTGTGACTTGCAGCAAAATCCTTGTAGACTTTGTCTTAGTAAATATAGATCTCCACCAGGGTATTGCTGTTTAAGTCACATTTCAAAAATTCATTTCCTCACTGCAAAATTGCGAAGTGTTGACAATAGGGTGTATTGCTCTTATTACAATGAGGGAGAAGAATAGAATAGAGTATCTTTTTCTTATTTACAAGCACAACATGGTTTTTATATTTTACATTTTCAGAAGCAACACTATTAGGCATAAAAATAAATAAAACCAATGTTTTTGAATATAACTTTAAAGATTTTATTAGAAGCATTTCAATTTCCAACTAAAAACAAAACCAGTACCTCAACACTCTTCCTTTTACTGAGACATATGTACAGCATGAAAAGAACCAAGCAAAAATAAAAGACTATTATTGAATGTCTCAATAAATTTCAACTGCTATATAGCTAAAAAGTATATTTTTGACCACACTGACATCAGTTCCAAAATCAATAACAAAAAGATACTGAGATTATTCATAAATATTTTAAAATCAACTAACATACTTCTAAAATAATCCACTGGTCAAAGAAGAAAATTTTTTAAAGTTTTCAAATATTTCAAATAAATGAAAAACAAATTTTAAAATATCAAAAATTGTGGTATGTAACTGGAACTGTTGTTAGAAGGAAATATATAACTTTAAAGGGCTTACACAAAAAGGAAGCTTAAAATTAATTAGTTGAGTTTTTATATAAAAATCTAGGAGAAAAACAAAATGACCTCCAACTATGTATCATCAACAACAACAACAACAAAAAAGTGGACAAGCAATAGAAAAAAGTGAACAAAATTAAAATATGGTCTTTTAAAAATTCAATTAATTTCATGAAACTCATTAGAGTAATTGAGAAAAAAGAGAAAACACAAATTTTCTCTATCAGAAATTACAAGAGAAAATATTTAAAGAGCAATGTTACGTGTATATGTGGAGTCAAATGTTAGGAAAAAATACAGGAACAAGTAAAATAAATACAAAAAAAGCATAATGTGCCCTGACCAGTGTGGCTCAGTGGGTTGGGCATCCTCCTGCAAGGCAAAGGGTCGCTGGTTTAATTCTTGGCCGGAGCACATGCCTGGGTTGTGGGCCAGGGCCCCAGCTGGGAGCGTGCAAGAGGCAACTGATGGATGTTTCCTTTGCACATCAATGTGTCTCTCCCTTTTTTATCCTTTTTTTTCCTTCTCTCTAAAAATAAATAAATAAAATCTTTTAAAAAAAGGATAATGTATTATGCTCAAATGTGGTTTATCCTCGGAAAGCAAAGTTAAACAATTGAAAATTAAAAAATGTTATTTTAAACATATCAACAGAATAAGTAGAAAACAATAATCATCACAACACTTGAAGAACCTATTCATGATAAAAACTTTGTCAAATAAGAAGTAAAAAAGAACTCCCTCAGTCTGATTTAAAAAGTCTCCCTGAGAAATATTTACCTATAACTTAATTAATGGGAATGATTAAATAAGTTATAGGTAACTTATTTAGGGAAAGATTTTGTCTCTAAATCAGAAATACAGCAAAGACACCCACAAATACCCCTTTTTTGACACTATACTGGGGATCTTAGCCACAGTAGAAGGCAAAAAATAGAAATTGAAAAAAATATAAAGATTGAAAAGGATAATGTAAAACTGTATGTATATTATATAATTATACATGTATAAAATTCTAATAAAGCTAGTTTTAAATTCCTAGAACTAATAAGCTAGGTTAGCAAAGCTGTAGGATATAACTTCAGTATAAAATAATCGATAAAATTTCTGTATATTTTCCACAAACAATTGGAATTTTCATAGTCACATAAATAGGCACAATTAGAAAAAACAGTATAGGTCAATATTTACATTTAATAATATATCAAAAAATAGTGACGAAACTGCATTTTGAAGGGTTCTAATGATAATGAGAGTAATTCAGGCATTCCAAGAAAAAAAACTACTTTCAAAATTGAACAAAGAATAATGACAATATTTAGGAAGCAGTTTAGAATGTTTAAGATACTCTAATCCTCCTTATTATTTCTTCACCATTATAACTTACCATTATTATATTTAGTATCATAAGCAACATATCATCATTGTTAAAAAAGCTACAATCAAAGATAAGTAGAAATCGAATAATCAGTGCTCAATATTATTAATGAGCTACATAAGATGTCATTTGTCTTTATTTAGACTAACCAGAAGGAAAGGCATGGACTTTGGGAATGTGATCTTAGGAAGCAATGTTAAGAGAAGAGGAATAGAAAAGGAAAGAATGAGGAAATGTTCATCTAAGTATGTTTCATTGAGATGGCTATAATGGCTTCATTCTGCTGAGACCACAAATTTGTCTACAGAGTACTTAATCGAATTGTCCTTGGATGGTCAGGAAGCTGAGTTCCAATAAAATGGCTGAAATTCGCTCTTGTAAAGGGGTGACTACCTTCATTTTAAGGGTCATTTTATGGGTAGCCTAAGGAAGAAGCTGGTTAGCATTCACGGATTTCAAAATGTTGACCAGGTCATTGAATTCTACCTGTGAAGGAAATACTTTTTTGGTGGAATGTGAACTTAGGATACAGAAATCTACATACTTTGTGCTCATTCTAAATTAATTCACATTCCTCTTTCCATAGTTCTTTGTCTCTAAATGTCCAATGTTGCAGCATCCAGATCCTTGAACAGATACCCAAGTAATCTGCCATAGCTCAGGCTATGTAGGTCCTGGTCTCTGGCATGTTTCTCATGCAAGATGGTAATAAATTGCTTGCAGATATGCTCACTAGGACATTTACCATTTCCCACTCTATTTAGTTCTTAATCTAATTAGAGAATAATGTGGAATAGTACATTTCTTTTATTCCAACTAAGATATTGAGAGGAACTGTTCTTGAAACAAGAGAGCTTTTCTTTCTCTAGAAGCCAGTTTTAGGAAACCCCATTTGGCCATCGGTGTGAAGATTGAGAAATATTGGTGCAATAGGTGTAGGTGCCATAGGAATCTGGGATCCCTGTTTGTGTTATTTACTTGAACTATCTGGATCTTTTTTAGCTTGTTCCCAGATATACTATTTTGGTCGTCAGATAAATTAATATGCCCACTTGATCTTATAATGCTGTGGATCTAAAAATATGCAAATTATGATGAAAATATTCAATCAGTAACATTGTAACTTAGTGTTTTCCACATGTATGCTCAACTCTGCAAGGGTCCAGTAGCCTACCAGGAGCTGAAACAGAACTCTAGGGGGCCTGAAGTACAAATCTTTGATATTTGTGAGTGATTCCACATGAAACCTAATCTACCAGGAATATTTTATTTTTATTGTATTTTAATGATCCTAAGTGCCAAAGAACAAGGCATCTTGCATCACACCCTGCACCTGCCACAGTGCCCTCCATGTACATCATCTCCTGCCAATGATGTCCTTATTAACATCAGATCACTCATTGATTCAGTTCAACAACCATTTCATAAAAGTTTACTAAGGCCACTTTGGGGATCACTATTTTGATATGTGTTCCTCCCAAGTCAGAGCCTGAGAGAAAATTCTGAATGCAAGTACTTCTCAGAAATGATTGTAGAAGTAAGACAAGGAAATGGAGAGAATGAGATGTTATCAAGTTTGCTGCTGTAGACAGTTGGGCTTGATTTTCTAAGACATCTTCCAAAAATTGTCCAACAGAAAGATAAGAGGCTGACTCTAGTCACTGACTGGATAATGGATTTTCTAATCCCTGACTATTTGGTTCTACTCTTATAAAATCTGAGAGTGTACCATAAGAATAATAACAAAAACAGCAAATGCACTAGGTTTTGAGGCACGATAAGGACATGGCCAAAACCTTCTCTAATGACAAAGAAAAAACTGAATAACAGCATCTAGGAAACCGATAGATGCCAAGACCTCAGGCTGAGCCAGGGTGGGATGAAGGAGATTAACATGCAGACAAAACCAAATTAATAAATCATTCTAGTATAGTAATTACAAACCAGTGTTTTGCTTATCTATTCAGGCCTTAAATTATTAAAATCATGCAAGTAAACTTAGTGATAAATGTAGGGTTAGATCACATATGACAAAGCAAGTGTGACATTAGATTAAGAAATATTGAGATAGATTTTTAGAATTTAGATTATGTATTTTGACCTGGGGATCACAGGTCAGAGCTTATATTTGGCCATTTTTAATTACTTTAAGAGCTTAGATTTTAAATACATCGAACTTATTTTTGCATAAATTCCATATATAAAGCATTTAAAATTAAAGCATCTTACATTGCTTCTGGGTTCATTATGCAGACAGCTCCTGGGCACTGGCATTTGTCAAGGTCATCATAAGCTATCCCCATACTCAGGCTCAGTAATTGAGCTATAATAACTGAAAATGATTCCATACTAATGGTTTTAGGGTGCTGGAAAAAACCATATGTGTACAGACACATTTTAGAAGATAATTCATTTACTGGGAAATAGTGTTAATTATTAGAAATAGTCACATGACAAAATGGAATAGAGGCTTCTAATATATTAACCACAGAAGTACCATCCATGCCCTGGCTTAGGTGGCTCATGGATTGAGCTCCAGCCTGAGAACCAGAGGTTCCCCGGTTCTATTCCCAGTCAGGGAATGTGCCCTGAGTTGTGGGCCAGCTCTTCAGTAGGGGGACTGGTGAGAAGCAACCACACATTGATGTTTCTCTCCTTTCTCTCTCCTTCCCGTCTTTCTAAAACTAAATAAATTAAATTTTAAAAAGAAGTGCCATCCATGTTGGACTAATTTGTTATAGGCACCATTGTCAATATAAGAAAAATAGAAATAGTGAAATTTGAAATTTTACCAAAATGTAAATGTCGGGTTCATTTGGTGACATCAGAGCAAGATAAAAATGACCTCAGTAATATAATTATACTTAATAATAATTATAGTGATTTTTGTACTAACAAATTATTAACAGGTCATGCTCATTTATAATTTGACTAGAAATGATATTTTACATAAACATTTCATACATTTTAAAAAGCCATAAATTAACACATAGAATTAATTTATATTATGGTAATAATGACCAATAGTGAGAATGCCACTTTCCAGTTGTTTAAACTTTATTTTCAAAGCCAAAATGCCTTTATCATTTTAATAAATATAAGATGCTTATATAGAAAATTTTGACCATACTAAAATATATGTTTAAAAAAATCCATAAGTCATGCTAGCTCTTCAAATATATCTAATAACACTTATATAAATACACTTCAAGACAGATTTCTAGGAATGCATTCTGATATCTTCTGTTTGCTTCTCTAATTCAACTCTCCATTATTTTCCACCCTGCTCTCTAACTCAGAATGACACCAAGGGATTGATTATGTCAAAAGTATCTTTCACCCCCTGTTTTACTTCGGTCCAACAGAGATGAGAGGGTGAGAAAAGAGCAAGTTGTTTATTGCTGTCATTGTCAGGAGTCCTGTAATTGTCTGAATCCTTGAGTGGAGTTCTCTACAGTCTGTCTGTGACCCTAATGGAATAACTCTGTCCTTTTTTTCAAGCCTGGCTGACAAATTAAATATCTGTATTATAGCCTTGAGATAGTGCCAAGTCCTTACATTTTGCATACACATCAATAACAGTCACTTTATCCAATTACCACAGTTGAATGTACCATCCATTTTCAAAGAGAGGGAGAGAGAAGGAAAAAAAGATAAGAACATGAGGAAGGAGGAGGAGGAAAAGGAAATAAAGGGAGAGGAGGAAAAAGGGGGAGGTAGAAGATGGAGAATGAAAGGGGAAGGGGAGGAAAAATATTTGATTCCATGGAAAATAAAAAGAAAAATTTTGCTAAATGTCAGAAATGTAATAGGATATTATAAATAGTGATATAATAAAAAATAAGGTGGTATATTATTAGTATAGTTATTTTTGTTTTGAAGATATTGTAGAAAAGGCCAGGCAACCATTCAATGCCACTTTATAATTATTTCTCTTTCTCTATTACTCCTGTTTTCTCTTACATAGCTTGGTAAAATGGAAATAACAGCATCCAAAAAATTTCACTTCATTCATTTGTATGAAAGAAGTCTTTTATACTTCCATGTGCAATCGCTCTTTTATTCTTTATCTTCTTACTAGCATATTTATTCTGGGTTTTCCTTTCATTTCTGTGATATGGTCAAAAGATGCAGTTTGCATTGGAGATGACATTCCTTTATGTTCTTTTTGTGGCAATCTCACATTAGGCTTCCATCAGTCAGCTAGGGCTGTCATTACAAAATACCACAGACTGGGATGGCTTAAGTAACAAAAATTTATTTTCTCACAGTTCTGGACACTGGAAGTCCAAGGTCAAATTGTCAAAAGGTTTGCTTTCTGGTAAGGTCTTTCCTCCTGGCTTGTAGAAGGCTGCCTTTTCACAGTGTCCTCACGTGGCCTTCTTTTGTTTATGCACAGAGGTTGATACCTCTGGTGTCTTTTCCTCCTTCGTAAGGACTCCAGTGCTCTCGGATCAGAGGCCCACTCTTATAACCCCCTTGAATCTTAATTACTTCCTTAAAGGCCTGATATAAAATATATAGTCACATTGGGTTAGGCTTTCAATGCTTGAATCAATTTTAGGAGTATATAATTTACACCATAATAGGCTAGTACGAAAAACTTGAAAAAGATACAAACTGGAGTGTGAAAATTTCTTACAGGATATTGTTATGATTACTCCTGTTTTGAAAATGATGGAAAAGTTTTGTCCATGTGTCCTTTATACATGTTCCTTGATGACCCTTCCCCTATTGTTCCCCATTATCCCTCTACTCCCTCCCTTCTGATTAGTGTCAATTTGTTCTTTATTGTGATGTCTCTGGTTAAAGTCAGGGAAGGGTGGAGTGGGGGGGGGAATGGTGGGGGGAAAATGGGGACAACTGTAGTTGAACAATAACAAAAAAAGAAAATAATAGAAAAGCTAAAATTATATTTAGCATTGGAATATTTAAATATTTTGTATAAAAGTTTATAACTAAGCAAACAAGTTTCCCATGATGAATAATAATAGTTGCTAAGGGAAATACCTGTCAAATAATAACAGCAGATGACTTTTATTAAGATTTCGTATGTGCCAATCACTAGACCGAGGAATTTGTAGGCAAGTAATTATTGATATGTCCTTTATCGTACAGCATATGATGACTCACTATATATATGCCTGCCATGTTTGCTTTGTAAAAACTTCTTCTAGTCTCTAATATTAGAAATCAAGATTCTATGTATGCTTTTTAGATAAACCTTGTTAATACTGTTCCAACTTGCTAAATTTTGGTCTGAAAAATAATTATCCAAGTATGATTATTCCTTCTAGTAGTTCTTTTAGTGTTTGATTTGTGTGCCCTAGGTATATATAAGTTCTAGTTTATTATACAATGTTAGTAAAATTTTATTTCATTCTAACTAAAGAATCACTTAAAATTCATGTCTATTCTACATGAAGAGCATTCTTGCTACTTAATACCATTGATACAGCAAAATTCCTTTGGTAATATATTCAGTTCTTTTTCTTAGTCTTTAGGGGTAAAATTTCTGTGGCATTATATATTGGTTTAAAATTTTTGAAGAAAAACCAACTTGATATTTTTTATTTTTAACAGTTGAAACAAATATTTTTGTTTTGATTATTGTCTTTTAAAACTATTAATAACATTTTGTTTATGTGATGTTTTAAAGCCTTTTAAATAATTTTGTTCTATATAGAATGCACAATTCTAGTTTCAGCCAAGATGGAACTAGGCGTAGGTAGAAACCCTTTGCTTCCCTGAAAAAACAAAAGGAGGATAATGACCAATCTAAAATCAGTAAACAGCCAGAAGCACCAGAAAATCAAACTGCATGGAACTGCAACAACCACAGAATTACAGATACAGTAAAATAGACCAACCAGACTAGTAAGGTAGTCAATGGAGAGAACATGCAGCAACACAGCAGACCGTGTGGGTGGGGCTGACGTAAGGGGAATCTGAGATAGACTGACTGTGGATATGGTGATTGCCCCAGAGGGAGAAACTCCTAGTCTCACACGAGAGTTCGTTGGAAAGTGGGCTAGAGACGAGCAGAGGACCTGCATTATTTCCTCTCTGGCCCCTCCCCCACAGACAGTGCCCACAGCACAGCAAGGAGGGTTGCCCTGCCTGGGTAAATACCTAAGGCCCTGCCCACTTACAATTTAATAAGTGCCTCAAACAAAGAAATACATTCCAAATGAAAGAACAGAGCAAAACTTTAGAAAGAGAGCTAAATAATGAGGAGATAGCCAAATTATCTGATAGAGAATTTAAAGCTGTGGTGATCAAAATGCTCACAGAACTTATTGAGTTTGGTTGAAAAATGGAAGAACAAGGACTTCCAACCAAGATGAAGGCATAGGTGGAAATACTGTACCTCCTCGCACAACCAAGTTTATAAACAACAAATATTTAAAAAACATAATGCAACCAAAACAGAGAGAAAATTAAATTGTACCAAAGTCCAACAATGACGAATCATTCATCCAGACTGGTAAGGGGGGCAGAGTCAGCGGCTTGCAGAGAGCGGTCATGCAGGAAAAAGCGGCCGGACCGACCCAGGAGCGCAGGTGGCAGTTAACAGATCCCAGGCATGGGTGGCAACAGGCAGACCCAGTGCGGTGCAAGGCGGCTGGCTGACCATGGTGACACATTCACACGCAGGTAAACCAGGCAAAGGAGCCAGCAATGAGATAGACTGCGCAACCCAGGGCCCCAGTGCTGGGAAATAAAGCCTAAAACCACCAATTGGAAAAACTTTTGGGGGTTGAGGTGCTGGGGGAGGCTCCCAGGCTCACAGAGAGTTCATTGGAGAGACCCGCAGGGTTCTGAATGGTGCACAAGCCCGCACATCTGGGAACTAGCACCAGAAGGGCCCAATTTGCTTGTGGGAAGCAGCAGAAGGGACTGAAATCTGAGAGAGAGCAGAAAAAAAACGCCATTGCCCCTCTCTGACCCCACCCCCACATACAGTGTCACAACCCAGCAACTGGGTTGCCCTGCCCTGGTGAATATCTAAGGCTCTTCCCCTCATAGGTAATAGGCACAAACAGACCAAAACATTATGGCTCAAGAAGAAGAACAGCTCAAAGCCCCAGAGCCAATAGTTCTAAGCGACGAAGAGATAGCCAACCTATTGAATGCACAGTTCAAAACACTGGTGATCAGGATGCTCACAGAGCTGGTTGATTTTAGTTACAAATTAGATAAACAAATGAAGGCTTCATTAAGTGAAATGAAGCAAAATGTACAGGGAAACAATAGTGATGGGAAGGAAACTGGGGCTCAAACCAATGGACTGGACCAGAAGGAAAAATAAAATGACCAAACAAAAAAGAATGAAGAAACAAGAATTCAAAAAAAAATGAAGAGAGGCTTAGGAACCTCCAGGACATCTCTAAATGTTCCAACATCTGAATTACAGGGGTACCAGAGGGGGAAGAGAAACAGCAGCAAATGGAAAACTTATTTGAACAAATATAAAGGAGAACTTCCCCAAGCTGGCAAAGAAAATAGAGTTCCAGGAAGTCCAGGAAGCTCAGAGAGTCCCAAAGAAGTTGGACCCAAGGATGAACATACCAAGGCACATCATAATTACATTAGCCAAGATTAAAATGAAGGAGAGAATCCTAGAAGCAGCAAGAGATAAGGGGACAGTCACCTACAAAGGAGTTCCCATCAGACTGTCAGCAGATTTCTCAAAAGAGACCTTACAGGCAAGAAGGGGCTGGAAAGAAGTATTACAAGTCATGAAATCCAAAGACCTACATCGAAGATTGCTCTATTTAGCAAAGCTTTAATTTAAAATGGAAGGGCAGACAAAGTGCTTCTCAGTTAAGGTCAAATTCAAGGAGTTCATCATCACCAAGTCCTTATTATATGAAATGTTAAAGGGACTTACCTAAGAAAAAGAAGATAAAAAAGATGAACAGTAAAAGGACAGCAAACTCACAGTTATTAAGAACCACACCTAAAACAAAAGCAAACTAAGAGGACAGCTAGATCAGGAGCAGAACCATAGAAATGGAGATCACATGAAGGGTTAGCAATAGGGGAGTTGGAGGAGGAGAAGGTACAGAGAATAAGTAGCATAGACAGTAGGTAGAAACTAGACAGGGGAGAGGGCAACAATAGTATGGGAAACATAGATGCTAAAGAACTTATGACACATGGACATGAACTAAAGGGGCTGAATGGGGGAGGGGTATGCAGGGTGGAGGGAAATGAAGGGGGGGAAATGGGACAACTGTAATGGCATAATCAATAAAACATTTAAAAAATGGGAGAGAAAAAAATAAAAATGAAAGATACCCAAATTGAAATAAAGCAAAATATTCAGGGAACCAACAGTGACAGGTTGGAGACCAGGATTCAATCAGAGATTTTAAATGAAAGGAAGAAATAAACATCCAACCAGCACAGAATGAAGAAACAAGAATTCAAATTAATGAAGAGAGGCTTAGAAACCTCTGGGACAACTTGAAACATTACAATATTCGAATTATAGGGGTGCCAAAAGGAGAAGAACAGCAGCAAGTAATTGAAAACTTATTTGAACAAATAATGAAGAGAAACTTCCCTAATCTGCTGAAGGAAATAGATTTCCAGGACAACCAGGAAGCACAGAGTCCCAAAGAAGTTGGACCCAAAGAGGAACACACCAAGGCACAACGTAATCTTCATTACGTTACCCAAGATTAAAGATAGAGATGAGATCATATGATATTTGTCTTTCAACACTTGGCTTATTTCACTCAGCATAATGCTTTTCCAGTTCCATCCATGTTGTTGCAAAGAGTAGTAGCTCCTTCTTTCTCTCTGCTGCATAGAATTCCATTGTGTAAATGTACCATAGTTTTTGGATCCATTCATTTACTGCTGGGCACCTAGGTTGCTTCCAACTCTTGGCTATTGTAAATTGTGCTGCTATGAACATTAGGGTGCATAGGTTCTTTTGGATTGGTGTTTTAGGGTTCTTAGGATATAATCATAGCAGTGGAATTGCTGGGTCAAAAGGCAGCTCGATTTTTATTTTTCTAAGAAAATTCCATACTGTTTTCCAGTATGTTGTACCAGTCTTTAACACAAACAAGCAAGCAAAATAAAAACAAAGACACTGAAATAGAAAATGGGGACAGTGACCAGAGGGGAGAGGGGAGGGAATTTAAGGGGAGAAAGGGGAGGGATTTAGAGGAACAAGTATAAAAGACACAGGGACAATAACTAAGGGGGGTGGAAATGGGAGGGAGGTGGGGAGCATGGGGTGGGGTGGGCTGGGATGGGAGAAATAAACAGAAAACTGTACTTGAAAAATAATTAAATAAAAAAATAAAAAACAATAAAGTAACTATGAAAAATAAAGAGAAAGAGAAAATCCTAAAAGAAGCAAGGGGAAAGGAGAGAGTTACCTACAAAGGAGTGCTCATTAGGCTATCAGCTGATTTCTCAAAAGAAACTTTGCAGGCAAGAAGGGGCTGGAAAGAAGTGTTCAAAGTCATGAAAAGCAAGGACCTACATCCAAGGTTACTCTATCCAGCAAAGCTATCATTTAGAATGAAAGGGCAGATAAAGTGCTTCCTGGATAAGGTCAAGTTAAAGGAATTCATCATCACCAAGGCCTTATCATATGAAATGTTAAAGAGACTTCTCTAAGAAAAAGAAGATAAAAAATATGAACAGTAAAATGACAAATTCACAACTATCAACAAATGAGCCTAAAATAAAGGAAGAAAAACAACAAAAACAAAAATTAAGCAAACAACTAGAACAGGAACAGAATCAGAGAAATGGACATCACATGGAGGATTTTCAGTGGGGAAGGGGAAGGGAGAAATAGGGAAGAAAAGGTACAGGGAAGAAGCATAATTGGTAGGGATTAAATAGATGGGGAGAGGTAAAAAGTGGAATAGGAAACAGACAACTCGAAGAAGTTATATGTACAACCCATGGACATGAACTAAGGTATGGGTAATGCTGGAAGGTTGGGGGTATAAGGGGGAGGGGAGATAAAGGGGGAAAAATTGGGAAAACTGTAACAGGTAAATCGATAAAATATACTTAAATAAGAATGCACGAATCTTAAATGCCTTCATGCAGTTTAATATATACACATATATAGAATATTCAGATGTATACACACATATACATAATTTATTTATAATATTGTATGTGCATATGTATATACACATATTTGTGAAGTGTGTATGATACATATCTGTGCAACTACTACACTGGGCAAAACATGGGGTATTTTTATTACCCAAGAATTTCTCTTCAGCAACCTTCTAGGCATTACCTCCCTGTAATTTGTAACTTCTATTCTGATCTTGAACAAAATGGTTCATGTTTACCTACACACTGAAATGATATAATAAAGTCAATATTTTTTGTTTCTGATTTATTTTGCTCAACATGTAGATTTTGAGATACATCAATGTTGAGTGTATAATAGTAATTTTTTTGCTTGCATTATCTGAATATACTATACAGGTTTCTTCATTTCATGGATAGGAGGACTCAGTATTGTTAAGATATCAATGTCCCTCATATTGAACTAAAGATACAATTCAAAATTAATCAAAACCCAAGCCGTTTTTGTTGAAATTGACAAGCTGGTTTTAAAATGGAAATGCTGATAACTCAGAATACTTAAATCAGTCTGATGTAGTAGCAGTAGGGTTTGCACTAACATTTTTGATGATTCGTTATAAAACTAGTTATTAAGACAATGTGTTATTGTTAGAAGAACAAAAAAAATGATGACAAAAGAATCCAGAAAGATGGGAATGAGTGGGTCAGGGAGTGTGGTAGGGTGAAAATGGAGACAACTGTACTTGAATAACAAAAAAAATAAATAAATAAAAATTAAGTTTTTTTTTTACACAAAAAAGAATCCAGGAAGAGACTAGAAATATGATGCTCTGATTTAATAACAGAGGGACCACTAGGGTACAGTGGGGAGGGCGGTGGGTCCTTAACATCAGAAGGCAGAGTTTCAACTGTTGGCTTCAACATCTCATTCTAGTGATTTGTTAGAATCATGGGCCACTGCTGATTTTTGCAATGAAAAGGTCAGGCAATGATAATTCCAAAGGAATGTGGAGGATAAGAAACATGAATACTAGAAAGCTCTTCTCTGATTGCTCTTCTCTCTCTAGAGACACTGTCCTCCCCATGAACCAAACACTTTCCAGTAAATGATGGCATTTCCTTCCACTTGGTAGCTAACTTGCCTATAGAGAGATTAAGTTCTATTCTGATTTTTGTTAATTGATGAAGGTCCTTCTTCACATAAGAGTTTTATATTTCTGTATTGCTTGGGACTGGTTAAATCAGATAAATTTCAGCTTTTGAGACTAGGTCATGGCTTGCCCATAAGAATAAGCCACATTTTCCAAACTATGATATGTGAATATTAAAGTTCTCTCCATTTGATTGAGTCATCTTTTTATGTCTTCACTTAGCTTTACTTGTTCACTGAAATATGAGTATTATGCATTGCCTGCCTCAAACTCCAGCACATATTGTACAAACACACACACAAAAGTAAAAAAGGCAAGTTCTTCGTGTCAGAAAAACCAGAGCATTGTGAAAGAGGGGCAAAAACATACCCATTTTAAATACACCAAGATTTTCTACTAAGAAAAAAAGGGAGAGCATTTGATTCTGTTATTTTTCACCTGTGCTCCACAAAGTACTTCAAGGTAATCGATAGTTTCAAAATCTTTATTTTAATCTGGATCATAATTATGTTACCTACAATAATTAAGAAAGTATCCAACATGTAAGCTTGAAATTAAAATCAATGAATAAATAAATGTTAAGCACATGAAAATTCATGACCATCTTATAAGATTAAAATAGATCACTACATTAACTTTCTAGAAGGATATTTGGAACTCATGAGAAGAAAACAGTAAAAATTTTATGTGTATTAAGTTCAGAAAGGACTTGCTATAGTTCAAACACTTTTCTCAGTGGACAGCAGGGATAGAGATCATTAGATTTGTTATGCAAATATCATCATACCTAGAAACAATTCAGAAAGAAAAACAGTTAACTCTACAGGATCTAAACAAGCATTCTATTTAGACATCTTAGCCAAGCAGATTACACCAACCAGAGCAACGCTTCCTCCATATTGTCTGTCGCACATCTTCCCTTGAAAAGTTGCACCAATATAATTTGCTTTTTCTCTGTAACTTAAGTTGAAGAAAATCATAATTATATAATTTTGTAAAACTAAGCACAATTAACATCTAATTTGCTTAATATATATTTTGATATTATATAATATGTGCATAGATATTTTCACCTAACATTAAAGAACTAAAGTATAGGAAGGGACAATATGTCTGCTTCTTTTGAAAACAATAATATAGATTTTAAATCAAATATTGAATATTATAAAATGTATTCTCAAACGGAATTTCTCAAATGAAGATACTGTTTTTTGTAGTATTCATTAAAGATTAAAATATTTTAAAATAATTAAAATAAGAAAATTGAATCAAATTTCTTAAAATTAAAAAAATGAGGCAATATAATTAACAAATAGGCAGAGTCAGCTTATGGACTAAAGTTTCTGCTTAATCAGAGAGAATTTGCTTGCCAGAGTCATGAAAAGTTATGGCATATGGGTGGGACAGAAAAATAACATAAAGGATTATTATTTTTAATTATGCATATTATTTTATTTTATATAATAATATACAGATTCTGGACATTAATTTTAAAAAATAAGCTTATTACATAGAAAGGGAGTCACGATTTTTAAAAGGCAGCCCAATGTGAATGTGGTATGTTGGAGATGTTTAAATATATAATAGGGTTTCTATTTCCTTATTATTTTTGTTTTATTTTATGGAAATAAAGCATAAAAAGAAACCCAAATTACTATATCATAGAATTCTGTTACATTTCTTCAGATAGATATTTTTAATATTTTTTGTATAGTTAGGGACATTATACTATAAGGTAAAAAGGCATATGGTAACGAGATTGAAGAAATGAATTTTACATGCAAACAAATAAGTAGAATGATTCAAATAATTCTATAAAACCCCTATGGTGAAAAAGAATATTCATACAATGCTGTAGGTAAGAAAATGTCAACTGTCAGAAATCAGTTCAAATATGGATATGTTTTCTTTGTATAAGATTCAGTAATGCCAGTACATGCTTACACAAGTAAAAATGCCATATCATGTGGACGCAAAACAAGATAAGATCTTTTCCACCGTAAAAATCTGTGTAATAATTGATTAGCATCTCCAGTTACTGGAATTTTATTTTCATCTATCCAAAGTTCCAATGAAGACAGAATTATTGCAATATTAAATGAAGTGAAAATCTAAAATAGAACACATAACAAAACAAATTCAAATATCATGGTCAAAATAGATTTCAAAATTACGTGTGAAAATAAACACTATAGTGGTTACAAATGTTAAACAATTCAACTTTAAGTCTGTTTTATAATACATGCTACTAATGGAACAAGTTACCATTAACTTTTGAAAAGCTCGTACTTAAGTACATCCCATGTCAAGTGCTTTATTTAATTTGGTCCTTACAATAACCTGTTTAGATACACACCAGCGATTTTTAACCAGTGTGCCTGGCACTCTGGTGTGCTGCCAGAGGCCCACCGGTGTGCTGCAAGAATTTTTAAAACATACAATATTTGACTATTTAGTCAGGTGCACTGACTTCTTTTTTCTTAGATTGTCAAACAAAAAAATGACAACAGCCAACACAACAACAGCTGTCTGGTGTGAATAAATAAAAATTATGGGTATACCTATTTTTTGGTCAAAATGGCAGAAAATAGATTTTTTTGGTGTGCCACATCACTTTAATGATTATTTTGTGTGTTATAAAATAAAAAGGTTGAAAACAGCTGATATATACAGTTATTATTATTTCTATTAAACAGTCAGAAAACTGAAAATTAAAATGGCTACATAATTTTCCCTATTTACATAAGATGTATATTCAGGCAGTGTCATAAAAGAAACTTGGAATTTTTTAAGTAATGAAAGCAAGTGCAAAAGTACTGAAAAGCAAATACTTACAGCATTAGTCAAACTAATTAACTGGAAAATTTTTTGAGTGACAACAGCTGTATCAGAACCCATATGATGATACTGAAAAAGATAATCACACATTTTAGATCTAAACATATATTGCTTAATAATTAATGAATGCTTAAATTTTAATGTAGTGTTTAAACTGCTCATTATTAGTTTTTAATATTAAATATTATCTTAAAATATATACTCAGTGTGAGAAATGGGCTACATAAAAGGCACAAAAAGACACTACAAACTCCCCAAAACAGAAAAGGAGGAACACTTCCAAATTCATTTTACAAGGTCAGCATTATCCTGATCCCAAAACCAAACAAGTACACAGCATAAACAGGAAATTACAGGCCAGCCTCTCTGATGAACACAGATATAAAAATCCTCAGTAGAAGTTTTGCACACTGAAATCAAGAGCACATTAAAAGGATCATGCATCATGGTCAAGTGGGATGTGTTCCATGGATGCAAAATGGTTAAACATTCACAAATCAGTTAATGTGATACACTATGAAATGAAGGGAAAAACATAAAATTATTTCAGTTGATATATAAAAAATTATTTTATAAAATTCCAACATTTTTTCATAATAAACACTATCAATGACACACATAGATAAGGAACATACCTTAACACAATGAAAACTGTATATAACAGGCCTACAACCAAGATAATAATCATAATCAATGATGAGAAGTTAAGGACTTTTCCCCTAGAATCAGGAGCAATACAAGGATGCTCAGTCTAACCACATTCATTTAGCATAGATTTAAATGTTATAGCTAGAGAAATTATGCTAGAAAAACATGCATCAGATTGAAAAGGGAGAAGTAAAACTGTCACTGTTTGAAAGTGTTATGTTATATGTAGAAAATTCTGAAGTCTCCACTGAAAAACTGTTAGAAGTAATAAACAAAGATGGCAAAGTTGCAAGATAAAAAATAAATATGCAAAAACCTGTTTCATTTTTATGTACTAACACCAAACTACCAGAAAGAGAAGTTAAGAAAACAACCCCATTTACAGTGACATCAATAATACCTAGGAATAAACAACTGTGGAGAGGAAGGAACTGTGCACTTAAAACTACGTGATATTGTTGAGGACACATGGACAAAAACTAAGGGGGGGCTGGAAATGGGAGGGAGGTGGGGAGCACTGGGGTGGGTGGGCTGGGATGAGAGTAAAAGACAGAAAACTGTACTTGAACAACAATTAAAATAAATTAAACATTAAAACAAAAAATTTTAAAAACCTATGTGATATTATTTGTTGAAGAGGCTATCTTTACTCCATTTTACATTACTGCCCTCTTTGTCAAATATTAATTGACTGTGGAGAGTTGGGCTCTCTGTTCTGTTCCATTGGTCTATGTGCCTGTTTTTATGCCAGTACCAGGCTGTTTTGATTACAGTGGCCTTGTAATACAGTTTGATATCAGGTATTGAGATCCCTCCTACTTTGTTCCTCTGTCTCAAAATTGCAGCTGCTATTCGGGGTCGTTCATGGTTCCATATACATTTTTGAAGTGTTTGTTCTATGTCTATGAAATATGCCATTGGTACTTTAATAGGTATTGCATTGAATCTGTAAATTGCTTTGGGTAGTATGGACATTTTGATGATGTTAATTCTTCCAATCCATGAACATGGTATATGTTTCCACTTGTTTGCGTCTTCCTTGACAGGGGGACAGTGACCAGAGGGGAGAGGGGAGGGAATTTGAGGGGAAAAAAGGGGAGGGATTTAGAGGAACAAGTATAAAGGACACAGGGACAATAACTAGGGGGTGGAAATGGGAGGGAGGTGGGAAGCATGGGGCAGGGTGGGCTGGGATGAGAGAAATAGAATACTGTAGTTGAAAAATAATTAAATTTAAAAAAACCTATGTGATATTAAAGAAAAATGGAAACAAACCCCACAAATGAATGCAAATATATTCAATGCTCAAGAATTAATATTGTTAAAGTGTGTATACTATACAAAGCAATATACAAATTTGATGCAACTCCTACCAAAATTCTAAGGTCAACCAGGAAAGTCCAAAGTCATAGAAACTTCAGGACTGGGTGGAATAACAAGATGGTCTGAGAAATTTAAGAGTAAATAAACTTCAGGGGAAAAGTGTTAGGGGATCTCAGTTATATGTGAAATTTTTGAAAGTCACACTCGTAGACCCAGAGAATAAATTGTTGGTTGTCAGAGCTAGGTGAGAGGGTTTGGCAAAATAGGTGAGGGAAATCCAAAGGTATAAACTCTCAGTTATGAAACAAGCCACAAGGATGTGATAAACTATATGAAAACTATAGTTAATAATGCTGTTTTGCATATTTGCAAGTTGCTAAGAGGTAGATCTTAAAAGTTCTCATTGGAAAATAAAATTCTCTAATTACATATGGTGACAAATGTTAACTAGACTTATGGTGAGTATGTTGCAATATATACAAATACTGAATCATTATGTTGTACATATGAAACTAATATAATAATGTTGTATGCCAATTATCCTCAATAAAAAAAGAGAGAAAGCTATTCAAAGTTTTAATCAGGGCATTGATACAATCTGATTTATATATTAAAATATATAAATGTCCTAGCTTTATGAGATGGAATTAAAGTTTTTGGTCTTTATAAAATGAATTGGGAGCTCTCTGAACAGTTTAGGACAGTGATTCTTGGATTTTGCTTGTGTCAGACTCATCTGGAAAATAAATTATAGAAGCCTAGATTTGTTGAAGTTTCAGGATTTTGGTGTCTGTTCATTTTTTAACCCAATTTTCTAGGAGATATTTATTCATACCAATGAATGAAAACTACTAGATTAGAATACAGAGCAATTATCTGCTATTTAGAAGTTAGATAAAATGCAGCTCTAAGCTCAAAGTTCCTGATGAGTTTTAAAAGATGAAAGATTTATATGATCTGAAGAGAAACCAGAGTATCCTCATGAGTTTTAAATGGTAGTTCTTTAATTATCGTTTAAGTTTCTTCTATGCTAATTGATACATTTGATAAAACTATAAAACAACTATATTCATGAATGCAAATGCAAATATTCTAAATATTAGTCAACAAATTTCAGCAACATATCAAAAGAATACTGTAATGATGAGGCAAATTTATTTTTCAGTAAACAGAAGTTCACCATCAATGAAGTATGTAACATTATCCATTATATCAAGAAACTGAAAGAGAAAATTTGCATAGTCATGAAAATAAGTGCTGAGAAAGCATTTGATAAAATTCAGCAGCAATTCCTAATAACAACTCCAAAACAAATTGAGTAAAATTACCTAAAGACTCGATACAATGATAATGTCAATATGAACAACTAAAAATTGGTGGTAAACATTACTTAAAATGAAAAAACCATTTATATTAAAATAGGGATTGATATAGCTCTTCCCTTATTTAATGTGGTTAAGGGAAGTTATAGTGAATGCAAAAACACAAGAAAATCTTCTTAAACCTGCTACAAATACTAGAAAGAAGAAATAAAACTATATCTTTGAACTTATATTTTATACTAGAAAACACATGAGGTTCTAGTAAAACTGTCATTATTAAGAGCAAATGGTAAAGTGGCTGAATACGGTAGCTATCTACAAAAGTTAATGTTTTTCTCAATCAAGATGAAAAATGTATTTATAATACTGAAAAGTCTAAAGTACTTAGGAGCAAATAAAACAAGAAAGGCTATAAATCTTTGTTTTAAAAAAACTAGAGTAGTCTTGTTTAAAAATGTAAAATCAGTCTAAACCACACATACATATTTTTCTTAGATAGAAGACTTTTATCACAAACTTGCTTATTACCCTAAATTAATATTGTTTAAATGCCATGTTATCAGGAAGTACTATAAAGGACACATAGACAAAACCAAGGGGGAGGTGGAAGCAAGGGAGGGAGGCGGGTTTGGCTGGGGTGGGGGGGGAGTGGTGGAGGAAAAATGCAGACAACTATAATTGAACAACAATAAAAATACTTTTAAAAAATAAATGCCATGTTAATTAGAGTCCCAATTTGGGTGGGAGGATTGAGAAAATAATTTTCATATCTAAGAATAAGATTCTGAGAGAAAATGTGCAAGAGAAGTATGAGTAAGAACAGAATGGAGATTTGTCTGCTCATCATTAAACCATAAAGCCACAGTAATCTAGTCAGTATGAAGCCAGTTTATAAGTAGACACATAGGTTAATGGGACACCAAACAGAGAACCCAGTTACATCTGAGACTTTAAAATCTAATCTGTGGTGCTGGCACAACAAGCTATTTATCTGAAAGAAATAAAAATAGACACCCACCTAAGCTAGAGTTTATCCTGTGCCATATATAAAAATGCACTCCAGGTATATTAGAGTTAAATGCAGACAAATCTAGAAGACTATGTGTGTAATATAGGAGTTAGAAACATGTTCTTAATTAAAGCTGTGAACTTAAAGACTATTGAAAAATATGAAAGTATATTTGAATACAAGAAAATTAAAATTTTGTGTATACAATACCCCCACAGATACAATAAAACCAGTTACCAAAGGTAATGCTTCAATATTTTATTGAAGGTAATAAACCAAGTATGGATATTTTTAACATCTAAATATTTGTTACAAGTTGACAAGGCAAAAAACATTAAGAAAATGAGCAAAAGGTGCAAGTTGTCAATTCAGAGAAAAGCAAATACCAGTGGCCAATAAACATTAAATTATGTATAAATTCATTACCATTTATACATGTTTCATTTATACATGTTCTAACCTATATTAAAGGCTGCAGAAAGGCTGGGGTTTAACTTACTTAAATCAGATTTCAGGTATCATAAAGGAAAAGCCACTACTTGTAAAAGCTTCAGGGAGATGACAGATGGTCAGATGTCTGGGGCAAGAGATTACAGATACAGATGGACAACAGACCTTGTAAGGCCCTGAGGAGAAGCTGGGGTGAGACTCTTTGGAAAATCGAGATATTCAAAAACAGCCTTATAGATGGTGAAGTTAAGAAAGCTCATTAGGACATATGCTTAAAAAAGACCTGAGAACATCCTAAATCTCCCCTCAGCTGACCCCTAAATTGTGAGCAAGGCCAACTCATCAATTAAAGACTGCCCTGTGCAGGGCAAATCTGCAAAAACCGCAAGAGGTGTTTAATTTTTTCAAATGATGAATTTTCAACAAAAAGCATCAGATTCCTTTGTTTGAGGTGTTATAGCAAAAATGTTATAACACTGTAAAATGTTAAACAATGAACATTTATCTCTTCAGGAAACTGTCAAGTCTAAGACAGAGGCTCCAGCAGATTTAGTGTCTGATGAAAACCCTCATCCTGACTTATAAATGGTCATCTTGCAGCTTCTTCTTGTGTCCTCAGATGGTAGAAGGATGAGGGAACTTTTTGGATCTCCTTTATAAGGTCTCTAAAGTCTTTGATAACAGTTCCACTTTAATGACTTCAACTATTCCCCAAAACCCCACTCTCCAAATACCATCACATTATAGTAGGTTTTGATATGAATTTTTCAGGAGAAATAGAAACATTGAGTCAATACAAGATGAACAAAAAAACAAACATGTCCTAAAGGAACCAGATAAATAGGGAGAAGCCACCCTTGCAGAAATCCAGGGTATCTGACACAGTCTTTAAAGTATGTCTAGAGTATGCTCAAAGAGCTAAAGGAAAACACTAAGAGAAATCAGGAAAATTATATATAAACAAAATGAGAAACTACAGAAATGAAAAGAAGTAAAAAAAAATCTGGAGCTATAAAATGCAATAATTGAACTGAAAATTCACTAGAAAGATTCAACAACAGATCTGAAGAGGCAGGGTAAAGAATCAGCAAGCTTGAGGAGTAGATAGTTTAAGTTATGGAAATTAAGGACCAGAAAGGAAAAAAGAGGGATTTGTGAAATACTATTATGCAGAAGCAATATATGAATTATTGGAATCCCAGAAAAAGAGATTATTTGAAGAAACAAATAATTACCAATACAAATTGACATAAAGCAAATAAATCAGAATATACTTACCAAATTTTTTTCAACTACAACGTGCATTTCTATATACTGAGAGAGCTCTGTACGTGGCTGAAAAAAATCCACATGAAAATTAAATAATTACTTAAATATTTAGTGCTTATCACTACTTCATGAATTCAATGTTGAAAGATTCAATTTCACACATAAAAATAAAATCAGATAATATAAGCAAAACTAGGTACCAAAGAATCATTTGCTATTTCCTTTGTCACCTCATTTGCTATGTCACAGCTGATCAACCATTTAATTTACTCAGAAAACAACTTTCCTTCCATTCTCCATATTCTCATTGGTTTTAAGCTATTTATATTGTTCACTTCTCTGAATAAAGCCCTTCCATTGATTCCTGTTACAAAAGGTGTGAATTTTTATTAGCTTAATGATGTGATTATATGTTATATATTGCATGGTTTTATCTATGATCCTGAACGTGTAAGAACTCATCTCTGTGTTTAGAGGGGTGATATTTCATCTGAAGAATAAAGTTAATCCATGTATAAATCACCTCAGAAAAAGATGAACAACAGAGAATCAAAATGACTGACTTTCTTAAACTGTACAATAGACATCTCAAAGTGTAAATTCTGGGTATGATATCATCCACCTAAATTATAGTGGTTAGGTTAGGCAAAAATATGAGCCCAGATGGGATTTGAACTCTGGTATATCATTTATATGACTTCAACTCTGCCAAAAATGGGGATAAAGAAAGAATTATTATATTTATTATAAAGAAATGTTAGTTTATTTTCATAGTTATTTTTACATGGAGATTATTCAAGAGGAATGCACTAGGGAAAACTTGTAAGACAGACTTTGCAAACTATTTAAGACTATATAGTGTAGATAACTCAAAATATCTTGTTACTAAAATAGCATACTATCTACAAAAAATGGATAAATATTAAGAAGAAGAAAAGGAGGATAAAATTTAAGAAATTGAGAAAACTTTAATAACATTTTGTTTATTTCAATGTCTGCATTATTTTATTTTTTACATTAATTTTAAAACTATACCATTTTAACCCTGACTGATGTGGCTCAGTTGTTTAGGCATTGTGCCACAAACAAAAGGCCACTGGTTCAATTCCCAGTCAAGGTACATGCCTGGGTTAGAGAGTCAGTTCCCAGTCAGGGTGCATACGAGAGGCAGCCATTGGATGTTTTTCTTTCACATCAGTGTCTCTATCTTCTCTCTCTCTCTCTTTCCACCTCACATAGATAAATTAATCAATCAACCCTTAAAAAAAACTGCACTGTTTTCTTAAAACCATCGTCCTTAATATGGTAAATGGAACATTAAAGACAGAATAAGAAATATGGGATTTAGTAGAGGCGGAGGTCAGAAAAGTGATGGTTATATTAATTTAAAAGAAAAAGTTGAGGAAGGTCTGTTAAACAAGTTTAAGGCTGATTGATCACTAATTTTCCCCACTTTAATATTCTATTTCCTGGCCTAAGCCTTGGAAATTTCAAGGTTTTATTTTAAAAAATACAGATGAAATCCTTCTGTGGTCTGTTATTTTTTATCATTTCCATTCAAAATTAAGCACCAAATGTTTCATGATAGTTTATGTATAGGACTCCGTCCTTTCTTTAAAGTCCCTAAACAAGAAAATAGCACGACTTTATAGGAGGATAAACATAATCACTTAAATCAGTGGCATTAACAATGCAACTTATCAGTTGCAGATACTGCATTAATGGATAAAGAGTTCAAAGCTATTTCTTTGTTTTAACCCACATGTGTTAGTTGTCTAACATTCACTGAAGTAGTCCTTGTTAGCCCTTGTTTATTCATTCATTTAATGAATAATAAACTTTTATGGGGAAAAATAACTATTTATATTAGCCAAATAAATTTATGATAAGGATGCATTTCAGGAAAGCTGTTGGAAGATGAGCAGATGGTATATTTCACATGACCTCAAAAGCCATCTTATGTAGTAACAGAATATAGCTATAGAAGAAGACAAAATGCTTAAATATATTATATAAATAAATATAACTTTGCAGTAAAGTTTGCTTTGGTTTAATAAATATTAAAGAATTGGAGGGGACTTTTGGCTAAGGTGGAGACATAGATGGATGCAGTTTGCCTCTTTGCACCACCAAAAGAAAGACAACAAATTTTAAAACAAAAAACAACCAGAACTGTCAGAAAACCAAACTGTATGGAAGTCCAACATGCAAGGAGTTAAAGAAAAAACATTCATCCAGACTGATAGGAGGGGTGGAAACAGGCAACCAGGGTGGGGAGGACCCATGGCAAGGAGGTGGCTGGAGAACAGGGGTGGGCAAGGCAATGGCTGGTGGACCTGGCAGTCCCACATTTGCATGCAGAACAACCAGGAAGAACAACTGGAGAGTGAGACAAACCTTGCAATCCAGGGTTCCAGCTCGGGGCAGTAGGGCCTCAAAACCTCTGACTAAAGAAACCTGTGAGGGTTGAGGTAGTGGGAGAAACTCTGAGCCTCACAGGAGAGGTCATTGGAGAGTCCCACAGGGTCCTAGAAACTACATAAGCCCACCCATCCAGGAATCAGCAACAGAAGAGACCAATTTGCTTATGGGTAACAGAGGAAGTGACTGGAAGCTGGCTGAGAGTTGAGCAAGCAGCATTCTTCCCTCTTGGACACCTCCCCCACACAACCCCCAGTGAAGTGGGTTGCCCCACCTTGGCAAATACCTAAGGCTCTGCCCCTTACTACGTAACAGCTGTGCAGAGACAAAAAAAAATATGGCCCAAATGAAAGAACAGATCAAGAACAAATATGGCCCAAACATAGAACTAAGCAATGAAGAGAGAGCCAATCTATCAGATACAGACTTGAAAGCACTGATACTCAGAATGCTCAAAGAAATGGTTGAGTATGGTTGCAAAGTGGAGGAAAAAGTGAAGGCTATGAAAAGTTAAATAAAGAAAAATGTACAAGGAACCAACTGCAAAGGGAAGGAAACTGGGACTCAAATCAATGATTTGGAACAAGGAAGAAATAAACATTCAACCATAACAAAATGAAGAAACAGATTCAAAAAAATGAGGAGAGGCTTAGGAACCTCCAGGACAACTTTAAATGTTCCAACATCCAAATCATAAAGCTGCCAGAAGGAGAAAAGGAAGAGCAAGAAATGGAAAACTTATTTGAACAAATAATGAAAGAAAACTTCCCTAGGAAATAGACTTCCAGGACGTCCAGGAAGCTCAGAGTCCCAAAGTGGTTGGACCCAACCTCTTAGCAGTGCCAAGCACATGCTAAGGCACTGAATAATTACATTACCCAAGATTAAAGGTAAGGAATCTTAAGAGCAGCAAGAGAAAAGGAGACAGTTACTTACAAGGGAGTTTCCATAAAACTATCAGCTGATTTCTCAAAAGAAACTTTGCAGGGCAGGGATTGGGAAGAAATATTCAGAAGTCATGAAAAGCATTCAAGACTTCTACATTCAAGATTACTCTATTCAACAAAGCTATTATTTAGAATGGAAGGGCAGATAAAGTGCTTCCCAGACAATGTCAAGTTAAAGGAGTTCATCATCACCAGGTCTCTATTTTACAAAATGTTAAAGGCTCCTATTTAAGAAAAAGATGACCAAAAATATGAACGGTAAAATGACGGCAAACTTACAACTTTCAACAACTGAACCTAAGAAAAGAAAAAAGCAAAAATGAACTGAACAAAAAATTAGAACAGGAACAGAATTGTAGAAATAGAGATAACTTGGAGGGTCATCAGCAGTGAGGGGGAGGAGGATAATGGGGGAAAATGTACAGGGAGTAAGAAGCATAAGCAGTTGGTAAAAAATAGACAGGAGGAAGTTAAGAATAGTACAGGAAATAGAGAAGCCAAATAACTGATAGATAATGTACAACCCATGGACATGAACTAAGGGGGGTGATGCATGTGGAAGGGGTAGTGCAGGGCAGAGGGAAATAAAGGGAGAAAAAATGGGACAACTATAATAGCATAATCAATATGATACATTTAAAAAAGAAAATATTAATATCTAGATGTAAGTGTATAAGGAAAAGTAAAAAAAGTGAGATAGAATGAGAAGGAGAGTGTTATTGGAGAGTAGAGTTGAAAATTCTAAGGAGGATTAACTTTATTTTACTGTTAACATTATACTTAATAGACTGAATTCTTTCCTCTTAAGATTGGGACAAGACAGGAATATCTCTTCTCACCTTTTCAGACAGTATACTGGAGACAATTAGGCAAGAAAAAAGAAATGGCAAGTTATCATAATTGAAAAGGAAGAATATAAACGGTCTTTATTCAAAGTGACATGACACAGAAAATCAGAGTCCAATAAAAAACTAATAAACAATTTCAAAAAGTCTGCAGAACATAAAATCAGTATACAAAGATTGATAATTTCCAAACACTAATAATGAGAAATGCAAATTTTAAATAAAAATTACATGTGCAATATATAATAATAATAAATAATAAAGCTTGTAGAAGTAATTTAACAAAATAAGTTTACTTGATGATTTGAAAACTGAACTAGGCAAAACAATGCAGAAAAATATTAAAGAAAATCTAAAACCAAAATGCTATTCAATGTCCACGGATAGGAAGAGTTAATATTGTTAATTGGCAACATTCCTCAAATGTATCTACAGAATCAATACAATCTACATGGTTTTAGAAAATTGACATGATTTCATGATTTTAAAAAAATTGACATAAAATTTTAATTAATTTGGAAATTCATATTAACAAGAATAGTCAAAACAATGCTGAAAAAAGAAGAATGCACACTTACTAATTTCAAAACTTACTTCAAAGCTATAGTAGTAAAAAAAAAGTGTGGTTCTGGCATAAGAGTAAGTGTAAAGATCAATAGAATATAATGGCAATTGTGGAAATAGTTCTTAACATTTATGATCAACTGACCTTGAAAAAATAAGACAATGACAATTCAGTGAAACAAAAAATAATCCTTTTAACAAATGGTGTTGGGAAAACTAGATGTCCATATGAAGAACAATGAATTTAGAATCTTTCATGACCCTATATAAAAATTAACTTCAGTTGAATCATATATCAAAATGAAATAGATTTAACTATGAAACTTATGAAAGAAATATAGAAATAAATTTTGTAGCCCTGGTGAGATGGTTAATAGATAGATGGTTGTATCTATCAAGTTGACTGGATCACAATGCCCATATATATATTAATGTGTGTGTGTGAGTGTGGGTATATGTATGTATATATACACATATATACATACATATATTCACATTCACATATGTTTACATATTTCCTGTTGGTTCTATTTTTCTCAAGAAATATATACCCTTAAAAAAAGAAAAACTCCACTACTGTAGATGCAGACCACAGTTGACTGAAAACCAAACCCAGAATCTCATTCTATGAGTACATGAATTATAATACATATTAAATTTCCAACACCACAGAATGTCTACTGTTAAAGTGAGGGTATTAATTGGGAAAAATGAGATACTGAAAATGGAATGGGGACATATGTGAAAGCTCTGATGAATCTGGGGTCATTAAAACCCTGCATTCTGGAGTCTTCTTTGCTAGTGAAAGTGGCTTCTCTGTTCCTGTATAAGGAAATTAACTCGGCATCTTGAGGAAAATATAATGGCTGTGCCTAAGGCAGCTGCCTTAAAAGACCCTAGTGATCCTCCTCAGGAAATATCTTCCACACTTATGTGAGTGGCATTTGCATTTATTATGTCATAATTTTGCTATAACGGATATGGAGAAAGGAGTTTATCAGAAGACAATAACAGCCTAGGTAATGGGAGAAAAATATGCCCCTAACAGTGAAAAAAAGCAGCTGTAGTCCTAGAAATTGGAATGAAAAGTTTTAAGGCTTACAATATAAGCCACAAAAGTTTCTGGTACATCTAGCACATCTATCTATCAGTCATGTGTATTAATGTGAATATTTTGTTTATCAGATAAAATACATTATTTATGTGATAAATAGTAATAATCATATAGTGGCTCAATCACCTACCTCTATGCTTTGTATTTTATAGGGCATTTCTCTTGGCTTAATATCCTCAGCGTATAAAGAAGCACCATCATTCTTATGTTGTACTTGATAAATCACATGTTCAAAACCAAATGAAGGCTCCAAGGGCTCAATTCCATAGCTTACATTTTCAAACTGTAGTAAGCCCCTATAGATTTCAGAATACATTTAAATATATATGCATGTATATATATAATATGCCATTTAGTCGGGTTTTTGTTTAATAGTATGTAGATAATTTTCAGTCTTAATCTTAGGCAGTAAAAGTAGGAAAAAATTCCTAACCGTAAACTTACCGAGTGGCACGAAAGAGTAGTGCTGTTGGGATTTGCCTAGCCATCGATATTTCATGGTCTCCAAACATAGCAAAAATCTTAATTCAGAATAAGTGTAGGATATTACAAAAATTTCCATACCATGCTTTTCCAAAGATGGTTTTCCACAATAAGGCATGCCTCACATTAGAACTACTAAATATAATTTGTAAATTAAAAAATTATTTCTAAAATAATATTCTACTTTGTAGTTATAAAATTATCTATCACAACCTGAGTCCAGTACATGTGCTGAGGATCACCATGGAATCTGGATACCCTTCAATATACCCTTGGTAATAGCAAAAATTCTGAAAAATAAAAGATAAAATACATTTATCTCTATTAGAATAACTCATCTTAAAGGTACTATTCTCAAATATTTAAAACAAATGCTAATTGGTGCATATACTTCAAATACTCATTGCTTCCAAAACAAATTAATAGGATTATTAGATGAGCATTTGACTCAATTGTCCAATAAATTTCCCCCGAGGTTCACAAGGAATTAATACATTTTCATATTTTTTATAAATTGAACATGTAATTCTGGGTAATTAGGATCAAGGAAAAAAATCATCAAAAAGTAATTTTTTCATACTCTACTGGCTTACTTTTATAAAAACAAAACCAAACAAATTCAAAAAGAGAAACTTTTGTTTCTAAAACTATTTGAGTGTAACAGCATTGCAGCTTGCATTGGATTAACCCTCCTACCAACTGCAACAAATATAAACTCTGAAAAACAATTTTGAACTTCAAATGAAGGCTTGCAGAAAAAGGTGAGAGAAAGCAATCAACACGAGAAAGAAAAACATGGTATTTATGGAGTTTTGCATTAGTTTTCACCTGAGGGCACTCCCAAGGCAGGACCGCACAAGGTAGCTAATGCCCTAATGAAAACAAAAACACGAGATACCACCTCACACTGCTCAGAATGGCCATCATAAATAAAGCAACAAACAACAAGTGTTGGAGAGGGTGTGGAGAAAGGGGAACCCTAGTGCACTGTTGGTGGGATTGCAGACTGATACAACCACTATGGAAAACAGTATGGAATATTCTCAGAAAACTAAAAATGGATCTGCATTTTGACACAGCAATTCCGCTGCTAGGATTATATCCTAAAAACCCTGAAACACAAATCCAAAAGAACCTATGTGCCCCAATGTTTATAGCAGCACAATTTATAGTAGCCAAGTGTTTGGAAGCAATCTAGGTGTCCATCAGTAAATGAATGGATCAAAAAACTATGTTACATTTACACAATGGAGTACTATGCAGCAGAAAGAAAGAAGGAGCTACTACCCTTTGCAACAGCATGGATGGAACTGGAAAGCATTATGCTGAGTGAAATAAGCCAGGTGGTGAAAGACAAATACCATATGATCTCACCTTTAACAGGAACCTAATCAACAAAACAAATAAGCAAGCAGAATATAACCAAAGACACTGAAATAGAGTATAGGCTGACAGTAACCAGAGGGGAGAGGGGAGGGAATTTCAGGGGAAAAGGGGAAGGGTTTACAGGAACAAGTAAAAAGGACACATGGACAAAAACTGGGGGCGGGGGTGGAAATGGGAAGGAGGTGGGGAGGGCTGGGGGATGGGCTGGGATGGGAGTAAAAGACAGAAAACTGTACTTGAACAATGATTAAAATAAAAAAAATAAAGAAAGAACCAACATTTGTCCTGGCTGGACTGTTCAGTTTGTTGTATTATCATCCTGATACATCAAGACTGCAGATTCAATCTTGACACATACGAGAATCAACCAATGAATTCATTAAGTAAGTGGAACAACAAATACATGTTTCTCTGTCTCTCTGTCTCTCTCTCTCAAATCAATTCACAAAAACAAATAACAACAACAAAACAATCCTAGTTATTACATTTTTAGGTTCCTAGAAATTGAGGTAGAGTAGCCAGGAAAAGAAGGAGGAACAGAGCAAGGTCCAAGAATGTGGGCTATGAACCTCGATATAGTTCTTATTTTACATCTAAACTGAGAATATTTGAAAGAGAGTGCAAGTAGTGTAGCAGAAACTAAGACCAGAAAAGCTAGAAAAACTGAGAAGGCTTTGGCAGTTTCTGAACACAGAAAGATACAATTTTGAAAGTGGCTCTAGCAAAGTTAATTGTCTGGTGGAATAAGAATGATACATTCTAGAGTAATGAAATCTAGAGTTCATTACTCTAGAATGTATCATTGAATATGGCCAGTATGATTTTAAGATATTAGATATGTGAATGTGCCTCATAGTCCAGAGAAAAATTAAAAAGAAAAAAAGAACTGATTCTGAAATAAACCAAGACTTTGCCTTAGTTTAAAAAAAGGGTTTAAAGCAGGTATTAAAAATGTGATCTAAAACAAAAGGTAAACTTTGGCATAATAAGAAAGCAATTAGGGAATTCAGCAGAGAAATAAAGGTTATAAAATCCTAAACCCTGAATCCTAGAAAAAAATACTTTTAAAATGTAACACATTGAACAGGTTTTACTGTACACTGGAGAAGGCAAAAAAAGTAAAAGAATAAAATAACATATAGACTTATAGAAATCATCAAATTTAAAAAAAAACTAAGAGAAAAGAACCTTTAAAAACTGAACATAGTTGTCACAATATGTGGGATAATGTTATCTAACATGTTTAATTGTACTCTCAGAGGAATAAAAAGAGGAAAGAGATATCCTCTTTCATCATTTTTAATAATTTTGGTCATCATTTTTAATAATGACCAAAAGTTCCCCAAATATATTGAGATAGAACAATTTATAGGTTGAGACACTGAATATACAAATAGACAATGGCTAGATCATATATAAAAAGTGAATTCTGATACAAAACCCACTGCAACCTGCCCAGGAAATCAATCAACACCCTTACGGACAACAGTAAGCCCAGGAAGCCAGCTTGCTACAGCCAGACATCGTAGGAAGCCATATTTCTGTCTCTTGTAACAATACAGGAAGCTAAACAATAACATATGAAGTAAATAAAACAATTAAAAATTTTTTAGTTTACCTAAATTTTGTCTCTGCTTCCAACCTGAGACCAACCAGACAGAGCTGAGTACATACCCCTAAACAAACACACAGGATGTTTTGCTTCTTGTTAGCCTACCTATAGCTTTCTTAACCTCACAGGTAAACTCAAGAGTTTACCTTAAACTAAAAATTTTAGTTTGAGGTAAACAGTTATAAGCCTAGTAAATAATGCATATGTTAAAGCTTTTGTTTCAGAAACCATAGCTAAGGCACATCTTGGCTCCTGGGAGAAAGAGCCGACCTCCTGAAGCACTGCTATAAGATTATCACCTAGGGACAAGTGGAGGCACCTGGGCCATTGTGTTTCAGGGAGAGACAGAGGACTGCCTGCCCCTGGGAACAGCTGACTGCCCAGGATGAGAATGCTGCAGTTTTTTCACCCAATTCTCCCTGCATTTCGAAACCTTTCCCTGCACCTTGTTTATTCCCTGTTATAAAAACTTTGACCTGGAAAGAGAATGTACAATGTTTTTTTTAAGGTTTGAACCTGTTGTCTCCTCAGATCACCAGCCATCTGAATATGCCCATAAAGATTCAATCTCTGTCTCTGCTTATTGGGTTTGGCTGATGACAAGCCTTGTGAGCTCTGGTGTCTTTTCTGGTTTCAAGCCTACCCTCTTCCAGATGGGGCATACCTGAAGTTTTCTTTTATTTCTTACTCTATGAACCTTTCTCACCCTCTGCCTGTTTTACAGTATTAAAATCAATGATCTTAATAATTTTATTAAATTTAGTTTTTAATCCTAGCTCCAGAAATTATACCCTTCCCTCTTAGATAGATGATAGATAGATAGATAGATAGATGATAGATAGACTCCTCGGAGACCTAGCCTTTCCCCCAGATAGTAGGTAGCCCCCAAGGCAGCAGAAGATAGTAGCAGGGACCTAATGGGCACATGGTCCAGACCTCTGGCTGCCTAAAGATAACATCTAACTTGTAAGTTGGGTTTTTAGAAATATAAGTTCCCCATCTCCAAATTAGCTAATGTAATATTAAACTATTGTTTTTCTTTCTATACTGAAAACTCCTGCTTGTGGGTCAGTGCACACAGACAGGTGAACTCATGGGAAAACAGTGGCTTCCAGTAACGGCATCTGCCAAAACATAAGTGACGGTGGCTGGCTCCCTGGCAATGGCCAACTCTGAATAAATAGCTTTTGCTTCCTTTCATTTCCACAAGCTATAAGGAACTGGGCACATCATAATGAACTGATGGAAACCAAAAATAAAGAAAAAAATCTTGAAATAAGCCAAAAATAATGTAACACATAACTTTCACAGACATAATAATATAAACAATAATGTTTCTCTCTCTCTATATATAGATAGATATAGATATAGATACAGATATAGATATAAATATTTAGACATAGAAGCAGGATACAATGAAAGAATACAATGCTAAGGAAAAAGAGCTCTGGCACACAGAATTATGTATTAAGAAAAAATATTCTTTTTAAAATATATTTTATTGATTATGCCATTACAGTTGTTCTAGTCCCCCCTTCATTCCCTTCCACCCTGCACACCCCTCCCCCATCATTCCCTCATTTAGTTTATGATTACCTATCTCAAGTTCTTTAGATTCTATATTTCCCATACTATTCTTTTCCTCCCCCATATCTATTTTCTATCTATGGTCTATGCTCATTATTTTCTGTACCTTCTCCCCCCTTCTCCTTCTCCTTCTCCCACTCCCCTGTTGCTAACCTTCCATGTGATCTTCATTTCTATGGTTCACTTCTGATCTAGCTGTCCTCTTTGTTTGCTTTTGTTTTAGGTGTGGTTCTTAATAACTGTGAGTTTGCTGTCCTTTCACTGTTCATCTTTTTTATCTTCTTTTTCTTAGATAAGTCCCTTTAACTTTTTATATAAGGGCTTGGTGATGATGAACTCCTTAAACTTGATCTTATCTGAGAAGCACTTTACCTGTCCTTCCATTCTAAATGAAAACTTTGCTGGATAGAGCAATCTTGGTTGTAGGTCTTTGGATTTCATGACCCTTGGAATACTTCTTTCTAGCCCCTTCTTGCCTGTAAGGTGTCTTTTGAGAAATCAGCTGACAGTCTGATGGGAACTCCTTTGTAGGTGACTGTCCCCTTATCTCTTGCTGCTTCTAGGATTCTCTCATTGATTGTAATTTTGGATAATGTAATTATGATGTGCCTTGGGTGAACAGATCAAAACATGGCTCAAGAACTCAGAGCCCCAAAACTGATAAATCTAAGCAAACAAGAAATTGTCAACCTATCAGAGGCACAGTTCAAAACACTGGTGATCAGGATGCTCACAGAACTGGTTGATTTTAGCCACAAATTAGAGGAACATATGAAGGCTAAACTAATTGAAATGAAGGGAAATGCACGGGAAAGCAGTAGTGATAGAAAGGAAACTGGGACTCAAATCAGGGGAGCTGACCAGAATGGAGAAAAAATGACCAAACAGAAAAATATGAAGAAACAAGAATTCAAAAAAATGAGGAGAGGCTAAGAAACCTCCAGGACATCTTTAAACACTCCAACATCTGAATTATAGGGGTACCAGAAGGGGAAGAGAAGCAGCAAGTGGAAATCTTATTTGAACAAATGATAAAAGAGAACTTCCTCAATCTGGCAAAGGCAATAGACTTCCAGGAAATCCTGGAATCACAGAGAGTCCCAAAGAAGTTGGACCCAAGAAGAAAAAGTATTCTTTAATAAAGAATATATGGAGAATTGACTTCTGGTTTGACAGAATGAGGAGCTCCACAAATGTGCTCCCTAGCAAAATAAATGAAAATTTTGAGTAAACAACCATTCAAATTCTCTGGAAATGGTCAAAAAGACAATCTATCCTAAGGAAAAATGAATAAACAGCTAAAGACTCACAGGTCAGCAGATGGAAGGATGCTAGAGAAATTGACAGACTGTAGCTTTTATATGATTAACCCTTTTCCTGAATTCCAAACCCCTTACTTAAACTTTTTTCTTTTTTATAAAAAAGGTTGGCTTGAAATGGAGTGTGAGACAATCTTTTAGGGTACGTTATGCACCATTTTCTCAGTTTGCTGGGCATCTGAATAAAGCACTGATAAAAAGATTCAATCCCTGTCTCTACTTCTTGGTCCTAGTGGTGACAGATGGCACAAATGCCAACTTTTCTGGCTTCAGTATTATGTATTGTGCGTAATTGTATGTGCTGTACTTTTGTATAACTGGCAGTGCAGTAGGTCTGTTTACACTAGCATCACCACAGATATGTGAGTAATGTGTGCCCTACAACATCACAATGGCTATGGTATCACTAGGTGTTAGGATTTTTTCTCCACTATTATCTTATGGGACCACCATAGTACAGGTGGTCCATCGTTGACTGAAACGTTGTTATGTGGCACATGACGGCACTCATTACATTTGAGGCCAATATTCAACAACTCATTTCATTCAGGTTACTAATAAAGCATTCTTTGCCCTGTCATTTTAATTATACATTTATTTTTCATGGTTACCTCCTGAGAGACAGGAAGTAGAATTAGTTGTTAGGTATAGCAAAATTATATAAAATTCAGGCATGGGATATTGGGCTTGTGTATCTCTTTGTCTCTCTGATTCTAATTCTCTTCCCTCTTACACACACACACACACACACACACACACACATATTTGTGTATGTATGTTGTAACTAATAAGATGAGGGCCTTTTACTGGCCCTCTTTGCCAGAAGTAGCTTGTCTGACTTTTTTTTTATGAGCCTCTGTCCTCAGAACTAGAAAATTACTGAAGCACCCAGAAGGTGCAGAGGTCATGTCTTACAAGACCAGATGTGCTAGACTGCAAAGCCCAAACTCTTACCCAAAAGGAACATCAGCACAGAATGTAGCCTGAACAAAACCAACGGAAATGCCCCTACATTTTGTTGCTGGATGTATCTCTCCACACCAGACCCCTTTTCTCCCTGGGAAAGTCAATAAAACTTTGCTCTCTGCCTTTTCTTCTCTTTGTGAGTTCTTTCACAGCCTGTGTCACTGACCACCCTAACAATAACACAGTTTGACTATGTATTATTTATATAACTGTAGAGACTACTCCATAAACAACCCATATATTTGCCCAGTCTGTTCAAAAAATTTAAAGCAATTATTCACCATCTCTATTATTTATTCTGTTAAAAGCTTAGTCTCTATAAAAATGCTTTAATTTCAAAGTACTGGTAGGTTTCCAACATAGAAATCAATAATACAAACAGAAAAAACAATAGGAATTTGCAGGGTATGGCAAAGGTAAAAAGGAAAATGGTATTTCAGGCATGTGAAACTCACGTAATTATATGAATTGTTCTCTACTATTTTTCCAATAAATTACAGACATTAGAAAATGAAGCTACAAGTTCTCCCAATATATGAAAACTTAACATATGACAAGATCTGTCCAGAAAGTATTCAGCCATGTAATATGAAAAATAGAGACATTTATTGAAGAAGACACAAAATACAAGAAACATGGTACACAGGACAATGATGGCTCAGTCTCTTCATAGTAGGTACCTTGGAACCTCACACAGTTCTTCCAGTGTCTCTTCCACTGTTCAAAACACTCTGCAAAATCCTTTCTTGGAATCCCCATCAACTGCCCCATCATATTTTCTAAATCTAAACGACAGTCTAAAATCTCTTCTCTTTTAAAGGTGATTTTAGTTTTGGGAAGAGCCAGAAATTGCAGGGTGACAAATGTGTTTCATTGTTAGTGGTTTGAATCAAGTCATTAGTAACTGTAGGACAATGTTCCTTCTGCTCTGGTAGCAGAAGCCATGAAATGAATTTAGCTATGACACATTTAATGCCAAAATTCTATGTCAAAATCTCAGACACAGTAGTTTTTGGAATCTGCTGATCAGCTTCTAGTCCTCACACTGTCAGTCGCCAGTCTTTGTTGATCGCAGCCTGTGCACATTCAACATTCTCATGTGCTCTGCTTGTTGCAGGCCTTCCAGAACATGGATCACTTTTAACAGATTCTGGACCATCTTTGAAGCGTTTGTGTCACACTTTTATTTGTGCTGCACTCATTGCATCATCCCTGAAAGGCTTCTGAATCAACCCAATAGTTTCTGCAGAGGAATGTTCAAGCTTAAAATAAAATTTGTTGCAGATTCATTGCTCTACTCACTCAGTCGTTTGAATGTGACGCAACACTATACACATGCTCACTCAATGGCATCTACCACCCCCACTGAGTAGTACAGTGAAGTCCTCATTGTTCACACATGCACATTCCAGTCCACTCTCCTTGACTGCCAGGTTACATCAATGTTGTGCAAATAGTTCTTGTTATATTAACAATAGCTGGACTTTTCCCAGACAGACCTCGTATTCTTAAATATACATAAAATTCCATGTTGATTTACTTAGTCCCTAAAATACTTCAGAAAAAGTCTTTGGATTCTCCTCTTCTTCCCAGATTTAGCTTTCCTAACCTAAGTCATGCTTTTTCATTTGAAGTATGTCTCAACATAGTCAACCCTTTAGCCTCATAAGTATGTACATGTACATCACCATGAAATAATAGCTTAAAAACATCACAATCATTTTTTATTTGGAGAACTGTCTGTGTAATAAGGCTTACTCAAGGCACATCATCAAAAAGAAATGGTTAAATTTATGCCCCAAACAAAAGATAACTTCAACCCTTTGTATTCCAGCAACAAGTGGACCCTAAGTAAGGTGATCACAGAACTTAAATAATGAAGGTAAAACAGTTGATAAAAACCATACCTGAATCTCTTGTTCAAAAGGTTTCATATGTCCTGTGCCATTATAACCATAAACTCTAAAATTATGAGGTAAAAAAGCTCTGTAAAATAGATGAGAAGTATTTAATGGAAAATTTGTTTCCTAAGTTTATTTCAAAAAGATATTTAGTTATATTTATTATAAATAGGTACATAAGCAGAGGGAGAGGGTGAGGAAAAAACAGAGATTGAGTCTCTGTTTTTGTTCTTGTTTTACTCAAAGATCTGAGTTTCCAGTTCTCCCCTCACTCACTTTACTGTCATACCATCTTTCTGGTTTTTTTTAATATAACAGGCAATCTATTGCCTCAGGGCATTTGCGCAAGATGTTGCTTGCCCCTTCCTGGGATATTCTCTAGCATGGTTCATTGGCTCATTTACTTCAAGTCTTTCTTACATATCAGCTTCACAGTGAGGTTCATCTTGATAAGTTAATAAAAAATGTAACTTTCTCTATCAACAAGCATTGGATTTCCAAAAAATATTTTTCCTTTGTTCTACATATTTGCTCAAGCATTTTAACACTCTTCCTAATTTACAGTGTCCAGGAGAAGTAACACCTGCTGGAGTGTGGTTGGTAGGATAATGTTATGGATGCAATAAGTTACAGTTTTAATGTGAACATTTCATCTAAAATATCATATGGTGTGTTTACATGTGATATTATTATGTTATAGAATTACATGCTTATGATTTTGTGATAAAATATTTTTTAAAGATTTTATTTATTTATTTTAGAGAGATGGGGAATGGAGGGAGAAAGAGAGGGAGTAAAACATCAATGTGTGGTTGCCTCTAGCACACCCCATACTGGGGATATGGCCTGCAACCCAGGCATGTGCCCTGACTGGGAATCAAACTGATGATGCTTTGGTTCACAGGCCTGTGCTTAATCCACTGAGCTATACCAGCCATGGCCATAATAAAAGAATTTTTAATAACAAAAAAGCATTATTTTGCTAGTCCCTAAATTTATTTATTATATCATAATTAGAGTCATCTGCTAACAATAGAAACTAAGAGATTCACATCCACTTTGTTTACTAATGTATCTCAAGTACTTAGAAAATAGCAAATGGTCAATAAATACTGAACTAATAAAACAAGAATTCAATAGATTAGATGGACATCTTACATTAAAATACTGGTGTGGCTCAGTTCTTTGGATATTGTCCTACAAAGCGAAAGGTCGGGGGTATCCCTGATTAGGGCATGTACCTGGGTTGCTGATTGGGCTTTAGTTGAGGCCCATATGAGAGGGCCTCATTGCCCATGTGAGAGAGAGATCGATGTTTCTCTCTCACATTGAGGTTTCTTTCCCTCTCTTCCCCCCTCTCTAAATAAATAAATAAAATCCTTTAAATATGAGGAAAATATGCTTGTGAGACTTTATAAAAAGAAAGGTAGCTGTGAGTATTCCATTTTCATTTTCCCAAGCAAGTGTAACATAAAGATGGAGACTGACACAGCAGTCTGGATTTGTTGAAGCAACTGGTCCAAAAACCAAGCCACTGACAATCAGAACAAAACTTTTTGTCCTCTTGTCATAACAAAAAAGAAAATGACTGACAGTGAGGTGGGACTTCAGGGAACACATAAATTCTGAACTGAAAGCCCTATAAAGAAATTTTGCTGGTGATATGCAGGCACTGTTTTTTGGCAGAGAAAGGAAGAACCCAAATATTGATGCTTGTCCATGTTTGTCCCAAGAAGAAAGTCACTAATTATTTAGAGGCTTAGACACAGGCAGATATTTGGGGGTTCACGTAGGACTGAAATAAAAATACTGAACATTTGAAATGTATCAAGTACATAACTTCCTTTTCTGTAAAAACATTTGCCAAATTTTGGAAGTGACACAGATGTCCAAGATGCTAAAAAAAAATTAAAATCTTTGAAAATAAGAGCAAATATTTTTTTCAAATTGATAATACAGAATCAACATGCTCTATGTAATTCAAGCATAATAACAGAAAGAAAAGTCACACCTAAATATTTTTTAAAGACTGATGAAAATTAAAATAAATCAGTGTCAAAGAATAAAGAAAAAATGTTACCTTCAAAGAAATAGCAATAAGACAGAGAGCCACCATGTCAATAGAAATAAAACTGGAAGACAATGAAATAATAATTTAAAGGAACTAAAGTCATTTTTAAAAGTCATCCTAAAATTTATTCCAGCAAAAGCACTTCTAAGAATAAGGTTAAATAAAGATTTAACAATGAATACAAACAAACATAATTTAAAAAAAGAAGCAGAGCTGTGATAGAAATACAGAGAATTCCTGATACATGGATGTTAACTACAGATAAAAACAGCAATGCGAGAAGAAATGAAGAGCACCAGAATGGGTACATTTATGGTTAAATATAAAGGAATATTGACTTTAATAAAAATAATAGTAATCTCTCATTGGGTTTTAAATGTATGCAGGACTATGATACATAAAGAATAATGAAAAAGTAGATAAAGACAAGTGGAATTAAAGTTTAAATGCTCTAACAATATTGGGTAATTGGTAAAAGCAAAAGTATGTATTAGATTCAATAACTCAGGAATTAATATGTTGATCTACAGAAACCACAAAAAGAGGAGTAAAAGGATCTACACAAATTTTATAGAGAGATAATGGTGCAATATAAAATAATAGATTCATTAAACACAATGAAAGCAAAGAAATATAAAATTGAAAGTACAAAAGGAAAAATAATACAATTACTTGAAAAATATATGGAAATCAAAGGATGAAGAAAAGTAAGAATATCTTAGAACTGTAGAACAAGGCAAGGTATCAATACCTATTACAGAGTTGTATTAGTTACTTCTGTGTGGTATTTGTATTGATAAATAGGGCTTAAGAATAAACATACACTAAAAGAAGAGAAAAAAGAATATAGAAAGACACCTCTCAGAAACAGCCATTTGATTTATGACAAGTGAAGAAAAGGGTTTTTTTTTTTTAAAGCATGTGCTGGATCCATTAAATCCTAATATGAAAAAATAATCAAATCTTGACTCCTCTACTCACAAAATACACAAACATCAACTCTGAATGAGTCCTGGAGCTAAATATGAAAGTGAAAACAATAAAGAAAAACATTAGAAGAAAATAGTAGCTTAGATTCATGACTGTAAGTAAACAATATTTTAAAATATGAAATATATAATAACTACAAAGTAAAAATGTTAATTTAAATTATATTAAAAATAGAATTTAAAGCTTAATTTAAAATTCTAATAAATAAAAATAAAAATTAGGCTAAATAAAAATTAAAAGGGGAAAGTAGTAAATACATATTAACAAATCTAAACAAAGAAAGCCAATGTAATTATATACCCATTGTTGAGGTCCAAAACAGATGTTGAAAGTTAGGCTGACCAGGAACAGGGAAATTTTTACTTCCTAAAAGGGCTAACCGTCAACTACACAAAGAGCCTTTTGAATTTCCCTAATAAGCCAATGGCAATCAGCTGTTTAGAGTTAGCCAATAGTTAACAGCCACATCTGCTTCTGTTCAAAGCTTGCTTGCATACCCCTATATAAGGACATAGCTGTAAGCGCTGGGGCGCAGCTCTCATCTGCAGCTCTCCTGAGCATAGTGTCCTCGGACACTCAGAGAGCTTGCCCCTGCGCAGGTAAAACTTGGCCAATAAAGTAACATCTTGAAAATTCTGAAAGTCTCCGAACCTCTGTTTCTCATGACGGCGGATGCAACACCCATCAAATATATAAAATTTAAGATACTAATTATGAAGAATCACTACATAATGCTAAAATTTTTATTAAAAATGTTTATAATTTCAAAAATATATAGGATTGGCAAAAGTAGATTTATAGTTGTGAATACTAGCAATTTATTCTTGAAGTATATTTATTAATTATTGTATTATTTCCCATACAAACAATGTAAACCTACTTTTGCTCTACTTTGTATAATTCAAAATTTAAAGAATACAAGGAAACTAGTTAATTTGAAAATTATTGTAGAAGATCATAAATCATATAAATTACAAAGAAACAAAATAAATAGAAAAATCAGTGTGAATATGGAAAAATTTTATATGATTAAAAAGCATTGTAAGAACAATTGCAGAATATATACATTTTCTAGCACATACAGAACATTTATAAACAGTGAATATACATTATATCACAAAAAAGCCTCAAAACTCTTAAAGGATTAAAATCAGAGAATATTCTGAGATAAAAATTATTAGAGATAATAATTAGAAATTGCCACATGTATTGACACTAAGATAAAATGAAATAATTTATGGGCCAAAGAAGAAATGTTATAAAAAGTAGAAAATGGGAGGACTTCTGGTGAAGATGGGTGGCAGAAGTAAACACAGCTTGCCTCCTGGCACAACTACATCAAAATTACAACTAAATTATAGAACAGCCATCACTCAGAACCATCAGAAATTGAGTTGAATGGAATCCTGACAACTAAGATATTAAAGAAACATCATCCACCCAATCTGGTAGGAGGGACTGAGATGCAGAATGGGCAGCTCCCACATCCATGTATGGTGGATAACAACTTTGGAGGAATATCTTAGAAGTGAGGAGGCCCAGCCTTACAAGAGGCCCCTGAACCTGGGTTTCCAGATCCAAGAAGATAAGAGCCCAAAACTTCTGGCTGCAAAAACAAGCAGGGACTGAATTGATGAAAGAAACTTCTGGAGTCCCAAGCACTTCCTCTTAAAATCCCACACATGGATTAATCGGACTCATCCTCTCTGAGCTTCAACACTGGATTATCAGTTTGAAAGGCACCAGTGGCATACAATGAAGAACTGAAGAGTCTGGCATCAATGTGAGAGCTGAAGAATAGCTTTCTCCCAGAAAGAAAGGTGGGTAGAGGCAACTGTTGCTTTTCTGAACCAACCTACCACAGAGCAACAAAGCTGGCAGATGGATGCCACATACAGAATCTGTCTATCAAGGTAACACTGTTTGCCTCACCCTGGAGGTCCTCCAACTTAGGCAAGCAGTTAATACTTTTCCATATGAATGGCTGGTCTTGGCTCATGCTTAACAACTTCCTAAATCCTCTCAAACAAACAACAGCAGGTCTTAGTGAGTCCCCAGTCCCCACACCTCTTTCTAAGGGTCCCCAGACCCAGCACTATCAGTAACAAGCCTTGATTCATAGCTTGGCTTTATCTGGGAATCTCCAAGCCCAGCATAAGTAACAGCCATCTCAAATTGCTTTATAGCCCAGGAGGGGTGGCCCTGGGCAGAACACAGGAGGAGTCTGACCTTGGCTTGTACCATCCAGGAAATCCCAGGGTCTGTGCACCCAGTGAACAGCTACAGACCACATCGGAGCACCACCACCCAGAAACTGCACAACTGATCCTCCACGGAGGGTGGAAGTCGGTGGTCAGTCATCACAGCCAGTCCTTGTAGCTGACAGGCCTGGATAAATCCCTCTCATTGACTTGCCAACAGCAATCAAAGCTCAACTACAAAAGAAGGGTGTACTTAGTACACATGAAAAATGCACCTCAAGTACCCAGCTTGGATGGTAGGGAAGGCTGTGCCACTGGATCCTACAGAACACCTACTACATTAGGACACTCTACCAAGGCAGGGAGTCATAGCAGCTCTACCCAATACATAGAAACAAACACCGGGAGGCTGCCAAAATACAAAGACAAAGTAACATGGCCCAAATGAAAAAAACAGCTCAAAACTCCAGGAAAAGAACTAAACAAAGAGGAGATAAGCAATTTATCAGATGCAGGGTTTAAAACACTGTTATGGGTGTCCAACCTTTGGCTCTGGGGCCGCATATGGCTTGGGATGGCTATGAATGCAGCCCAACATAAGATCATAAATTTACTTAAAACATTATGATATTTTTGTGATTACATGTTGCAATATATTTAATACATGTCCTAAGACAACTCCTCTTCTTCCAGTGTGTCCCAGAGATGCCAGAAGGTCGGACCCACCAAGGGATTTAGTGAGGACCTCAACAGCATACAAAAGATCCAGTCAGAAATAAAGGATTCACTAATTAAAATAAAGAATAGTTTATGGGAACACAAATAGTACAGTGGGTGAGGTTGAGAATCAAATCAATGATTTGGAACATAAGGAGGCAAAAAAGAGAAGAAGAAGAAGAAGAAGAACAATAACAATAATAATAACAACAACAATAATAACCACCGCCACCACCAATAAGAACAACAAGAAGAAAATGGAATCCAAAAAAATGAAGATAGTGTAAGCAGCCTCTGGAACTTCAAGAGACCCAACATTTGCATCATAGTGGTAACAGAAAGAGAAGAGAAAGAGCAAAAACTTGGAAATCTATTTGAAAAAATGAAGGAAAACTTCCATAATTTGGTGAAGGAAATAGGCAAATCCAGGAAAGCACAGAAGCCCAAATAAAATGGATGCAAAGAGTCCCACTCCAAGAAACATAATAATGAAAATGCCAAAGTTTAAAGATAAAGAGAGAATCTTAAAAGCAGCAAGGGAAAACAGTTAGTTATTTACAGAGAAGTTCCCATAAGACTGTCAGTTGATTTCTCAAAATAAACTTTGCAGGCTGGAAGGGATTGGCAAGAAATAGTCAGTCATGAACAGCAGGGAACTACAGACAAGATTGCTCTATCCAGCAAAGATATCATTTAGAATCAAAGACCAGATAAAGAGCTTCCCGGACAAGAAAAAACTAAAGGAGTTCATTATTACCTAACCATTATTATATGAAATGTTAAAGAGAAGTATTTAAGAAAAAGATCAAAACAAAAGGAAGATGAACAATAAAATGGCAATAAATACATATTTATCAACAATTGAATCTAAAGAAACAAACTAAACAAACAAGAAGAACAGAGACAGAATCATGGATACAGACAGCATTTTGATGATTGCCAGACTTCGGGGGAGGGAATGGGTGAAGAGGTGAGGGGATTAAGGAGTATGAATAGGTAGTTACACAATAGACATGAGGATGTAAAGTCCAGTATAGGGAATAGGATAGCCAAAGAATTTATATACATGACCCATGGACATGGACAATAGTGTGGGGATTGCCTGAGGGAGTGGGGGTGCTGGGTGGAGGGCTGTAAAGGGGAAAAATTTGGACAACTGTAAAGATATAATCAATAAAATATAATTAAGAAATAAACCAGACTATACTCGCTAATGTTAAACTGGAGGAAACTCTACATATCCAAAGATGTGATGGGCAGCTAAATAGTATGTAGGGGATAAAATAGCTTTAAATTTAACTAGAAAATAAGTATGATTGATGAGTAATTAGAATTCAATTGAAATGGAAAACAAACATCAAAATAGCACCAAGAAATTTAACAAACTGAGAAATAATATAAAAACCATACATTATAGATGGTCAACAAAACAAACTAGTTCATGGAAAGGTTGTTAATTTCACAAAGTTATGGTGTGATTTGTCAAAGGAAAAATAAAACAGGGGTGAAAGTAACTATTATTAGAAATAGCAGTTTTTGAAAAACTAAGACAATACTATGAACCAAAATTTGAAGTGTTAAATTGAAACCAAGGAATACTTAAAAAATATAATATATAAAAATAGACTGAAAAGGAAAAACTACATGATCATAAACCTTTAGAGAAATTAAATCAACAGTAAAAAAGTTTCTAAACTAGAATTTCAGGTGAAGGTAGTTTCACAGGTGAGCATTACTAAAACTAAACATTTCAGAGACCAGAAAAATAATGGACTACTCTTCAAGTCTCAAATATTTACTATCTGGCCTCTTGTCAAAAAATGTACTAACTCTACCTTCAAAGATAATGATCAAATAAGTAGATCAAACAAAGACCTGTGCCACTGCTGACAGAGTTGTGATCAGGGGACACTGCAAACTAAGAAACTGGACCATAATTGTGCCTTCAGAATGATGCCCCCTGTCGTGCCTCAGTCCCTCTGGTCCCTAACATAGAACACATTTTTTTAAACAAGTGTCCCTAGTATGAGATTATATTGTGAGCCTTTCAAGAAAGAGCATAGAGCTAAAAATATTCTCTGTTAAGTCATGACCAGGAAGGAGAAAAATTGATACCTGCTGTCCGCAGACCATGGGTAAAAGGTAGCTACGCACCCAGTCCTGACCAAAGTAGAAACATCACACTCAGAAATGAGAACTCTCAACTACATCTTATGTAGATGGGAAATAAATTACCTAAACCCCCATCATTGCTGAAACCTCGAGAGTATGAGCAAATTGGACTTAGCAAAATTAACCCAGCAGAGATCAAGCAAAATCATCCATAAAACCACCCTCAAAGAGAAGTTTCCACAGCCCAAGTAATCTTAGGAAAGATCATGGAAGATAATGTTCCGTAGGAGTTTGTTGTTAAAACATGTAGAAAACCTGTTTTTAAAACGTAGAAAAATCCAGAGCTTGAAAATGGGGAGAAATCTGATGTAGATAAATAACAATATTAAGTAACACTGAAACTCTAATTTAGAATAGATTTCACATTCAAAAGAAAAAAACAGGAAAGAAGCCATAAAAAAGATTTTCAGAGCATAAATATGTATCTTTGCATAGGAGATACATGAAAAGTAGTGATAAAAATTCTTAAAAGTAAACTAGACATATTTTCATAAAGTATAAATTAAAATCTGAGAAAAATACCCACAATAAAGAACAAATAAAAAATAGTAAGAGCCACTTCTTTGTGGCACCTGACAGGTGGTCAGCTGCTTCAGGATGAACCCAAACATTTCTTTCCTGGTCACTGGTTGCCAGCCATTGAAGTGATAATGAACACAAACTTCATACCTTCTATGAGTTGGCCACAAAAGTTGCTGCTGGCACTCTGCGGGGAAGAAGGGAAGGGTTACAGGGTTCAAATCAATGGTGGAAACAACAAACAAATCTTCCCCATGAAGCAGGGTGTCCTGACCCATGGCCATGTCTCCCTTCTCCTGAGTAAGGGACATTCCTGTCATAGAGCGGAGAAAGAAAGCACAAGTTTGTTCAGGGGTTTCATTGTAGATACCAATCTCGGTGTTCTCAACTTGGTCATTGTAAAAACTAAGGGGAGCAAGATATTCTTGGGCTCACTGATACTACTATGACTCATCACCAAGGGTCCAAATGAGCTAGCAGAATCCACAAACTTTCAGTCTCTCCAAGGTGATGAGGTCCACCAATACATTGTGAGAAAACCCCTAAACAAAGAAGGTAAGAAACCTAGGACCAAAGGACCGAAGATCCAGCATCTTG